TTCAGAGAAATCAAAACCACAAATATCACCAAACAGGGATAACTAAGAAATTAGCAACAGTATATTTGTGATTATAAAAGCTGAAGACTCTTGTAGTAATTGAACTTTTATACTCCCAAAATCCTATACTACCTTTCAAACTTTTCCTAAATTAAAAAAACTTAAAAAAATCGGAAAATCCACAAAAACCAAAATCTATATATACACATATATTTAAAATCCAAATCATGTCTTCTGACCCAACCCAAATCCAAGAATCCTTAGAAAAGTTGTCTTTGGACAACAAAGAACAACCCCCAAAAGAATCCACTGAACAATCAAAGGAAACTACCACCGAAACTTCTGCTCCAGCTAAAGAAAACCTTGGTGAAACTTCTGCTTCCTTGTACGTTGGAGAATTGAACACCTCCGTCAACGAAGCTTTGTTGTTCGAAATCTTCTCCCCAATTGGTCAAGTTTCTTCCATCAGAGTTTGCAGAGATGCTGTCACCAAGAAGTCTCTTGGTTACGCCTACGTTAACTTCGTCAAATTTGACGATGGTGAACAGGCTATTGAAGACTTGAACTACTCCTTAATTGAAGGCAGACCTTGTAGAATCATGTGGTCTCAAAGAGATCCATCCTTGAGAAGAAATGGTGAAGGCAACATTTTCATCAAGAACTTGCACCCAGCTATTGACAACAAGGCCTTACATGATACCTTTTCTGCTTTCGGTAGAATCTTGTCTTGTAAGGTTGCCACTGATGAATTGGGAAACTCCAAGTGTTTCGGTTTCGTCCATTATGAAACTGCCGAAGCTGCTGAAGCTGCTATCGAAAACGTTAACGGTATGTTGTTGAATGACCGTGAGGTTTTTGTTGGTAAACACGTCAGTAAGAAAGACAGAGAAAGTAAGTTCGAGGAAATGAAGGCTAACTTCACCAATGTTTTCGTTAAGAACTTGGCTCCTGAATACACTGACCAAGAATTGAAGGAATTGTTCTCTGCTTACGGTCCTATCACCTCCAGTTACTTGGAAAAGGATCTCGAAGGTAAGTCCAAGGGTTTTGGTTTCGTTAACTTCGATAACCACAATGACGCTGTCAAGGCTGTCGATGAGTTGAACAACAAGGAAATTGCCGGTCAACCAATTTACGTTGGAAGAGCTCAAAAGAAGAGAGAAAGAATGGAAGAATTGAGAAGGCAATATGAAGCCACCAAGTTGGAAAAATTGTCTAAGTACCAGGGTGTTAACTTGTTCATTAAGAACTTAGATGACACTATTGACTCTGAAAAGTTGGAAAACGAATTCAAGCCATTTGGTAATATCACTTCTGCCAGAGTCATGGTGGATGAACAAGGTAAATCCAAGGGATTTGGTTTCGTTTGTTTCTCTTCTCCAGAGGAAGCTACTAAGGCCATCACCGAGATGAACCAAAGAATGGTTGAAGGTAAGCCTTTGTATGTTGCTTTGGCTCAAAGAAAGGATGTCAGAAGATCTCAATTGGAACAACAGATTCAAGCCAGAAACCAAATGAGAATGCAAAATGCTGCTGCTGCCGCCGCCGCTGCTGGTGGTGCCATACCAGGTCAATTCATGAACCCAATGTTCTATGGTCAACAACCAGGTTTCTTCCCTCCACCAGGTGCTAATGGTGGAAGACCTAACGGTGCCAACGGTGCTGGTCCAAACGCTGGTCCAAACGCCAACCCTCAAATGATGATGGCTGCTGCTGCTGCTGCTGCTAGAGGTGGTCAAATCCCTCCTCCACAAGCCGGTGCCGGATGGGGTAGACCAAATCCTAATGGTCAACAAATTCCTCCAGTCTACGGTATGCCACCAGTTTACCAAAACGGTCCTAACGGTCAACCAAGAGGTGCTCCAGCTCCAGGTATGTACCCACCAAACGGAAGACCAACTAAGGCCAGAGATTTGGCTGCCATTCTCTCTTCCGTTCCACCTGAACAACAAAAGAGAATTTTGGGTGAAGAATTATACCCAAAGATTGTCAGCACCGGTAGAGCTAATGAACCCGAAGCTGCAGGTAAGATTACTGGTATGATGTTGGATTTGGATAACCAAGAAATCTTGTCTCTTTTGGAAGATGATGAATTGTTCAACAACCACTTTGAAGATGCTTTGACTGCTTACGAAGAGTACAAGCAATCCAATGAGGAAGGTGCTCAATAAATAAATTGAAGAATTTTAGGTTTTTGGGATTTTGAATCTTTTTTTTTTCTTGTGATATTGGATTTGTTTATATATATATATATGTATATATGTGATAGTAGAAAAAAAATTAATAAATGTTTGAAATTAATATGATCTTGCTATATCCGTCTCCCTTAAGCCTTATTATCGTCTCCTGACGTCAGTCTATTGCAGCTTTTTTTTCGCAGCCTTGATAGAAATTCGTGGAAAGTTGCGTTGGTCCGCATTGCTGCGCAAGGTCAAATAAACCTCAGCTATATAGATAACAGGTTTTTCCTAACTATTTGAAATTAGATCCAGCATTTTAACTCCTACCAACTGCAACTACGATTACAATGGAAGCATTTTTTGCATTCCCCAGTGATGAAAAGGTAATATCGCCCTCAGACTTCAAAGAAAACGAAAGCAACAAGTTCAGTGGACGTATTCTCAATTGCATGACAACAATTCCCAATTTGATTTGTAAAGAACAAAATGGTTGGAAAGTTGAGCCTATAAGAGGTCAATCATCCCTTTATTCTTCTCACTTCTTTCTCGCCAGGCAAACTGACTGGGAGACTCATCTAATTGGTTGGACGGGTGAAATAGTTAACAAGCAAACCAACACCAATTTTGCATCAGCCGAAAATATTCAAGATGACCCCCTTTACTTGAGCGATTCTGCTAAAGATGAGATTGAACAGAAGATCCGTGAAGTGAACCAAACAGAGAATATACATCCCATATGGTTGTTACGTCGGGATCAAGAGAGATGGAGAAAGTACGCTGAGAATTGTATTTGGCCGGTATTCCATTACATCCAAAGTCAGGATATGAACGGCCGAAATGAAGGTGTCAATTGGTATGACTACGTTAAATTCAATGAGAGTTATTTACAGAAGATCAAAGCCATTTATAAGCCAGGTGATATCATCTGGATTCATGACTACTATTTACTCTTATTACCTCAGTTATTGAGAATGGAGTTTCCAGATGCTTACATAGGATTTTTCCTTCACATTCCATTCCCAAGTTCTGAGTACTTCAGATGTATTCCCAAAAGATCGCAACTCTTGGATGGAATGCTTGCCAGTGACAGAATTGTGTTCCAGTCGGATTCTTTCCAAAGACATTTTATCAGCTGTTGTGCAAGAGTGTTGGGCTGTGAAATTAAAGCCAACAAAGTTTTTGCCTATGGATCGAACATTTATACTGATACCTTACCAATCGGAATCGATACCAAAAAGATTGAACATGATTGCTTTAACAGTGCAATCGACGAGAAGGTTGATGTTCTAAAGGAAATCTATAGTGGTAAAAAGATAATTGTTGGAAGGGATAGGTTGGATTCAGTTAGAGGAGTGGTTCAGAAACTTGAAGCCTTTGAAATGTTCTTACAGATGTACCCTGATTGGAGAGATAAAGTGGTATTGATTCAAGTTTCAAGTCCCAGCTACTCGAGTCATGCCCTTAAAATGGAAAAGAAGGTTACAGAACTAGTAAACCATATCAATAGTGAATACGGTCTGTTGAATTCGATCCCCGTATTGCACTATCAAATTAGAATAAACAAGGACGAATATTTGGCTTTGTTAAGAGTTGCAGACTTGGCTTTGATTACTTCTGTGAGAGATGGGATGAATACCACTTCTTTGGAATTTGTTGCTTGTCAAAAGAAGAATTACTCGCCTTTAATTCTAAGTGAATTCACTGGTACTGCTACGGTTCTCAATGATGCGATCTTAGTGAATCCTTGGGATTCGGTCGGAATTGCCAGAACAATCAACAAATGTTTGGTGATGTCGTTGGACGATAAAAGAGCTTACGAGGATAAACTCTACAAGAAGGTGTGCTCAAACACTATCCAAAGCTGGACCAATAACTTTTTGACTGGATTGATCAATCAACTCACTGGTAGATCAAAGTACACGTATACCCCAGCGTTGAACAGACCGCTGTTACTTAACCATTACTTGAAATCTGAAAGACGGCTCTTTTTATTTGACTACGATGGGACTCTCACTCCAATTGTTACCGACCCCGAAGCAGCTATTCCGTCAAAGAGACTCAATGACATAATTGAAATTCTTTCAGTGGATCCTAGGAACCAAATTTGGATCATAAGTGGCCGTGATCAGAAGTTTTTAGCAAAATGGTTTGGCGATAAGAATGTAGGATTGTCTGCGGAACATGGGTGTTTCATGAAAGATTTAGGGTCAAGCGAGTGGGTCAATTTGGCTGCTACTTTTGATATGTCGTGGCAGCAAGAAGTAGAGGAAATCTTCCAACAATTTTGCAAGAAGACCCCTAACTCCTTTACTGAAAAGAAAAAAGTGGCATTAACCTGGCACTACCGTCGTTCAGACCCTGATTTGGGTGAATATCAAGCCAAGAAGCTCAAGGAATACTTGCAAGCAACTGTCGTACCCAAATATGACGTAGAGTGCATGAGTGGAAAGGCTAATATTGAAGTCAGACCCAAGTTTGTCAATAAAGGAGAAATTGTTAAACGGTTGGTATTGAATCCTCATGGAACCAAGCAAGATCCAAAGCCTATTGCCCAACACAATTACGAATTGGCAGCCGATCAGGTTCCTGATTTCATATTATGTTTGGGAGATGACCAGACGGATGAAGACATGTTCAAGAGTTTGAAACAAATTGAAACAAATTGGAACTTGAAAGCTTACCCTAGAAACGGGTTCGGACATTATGGTGTGTACCCTGTGTATGTGGGATCTCCAACCAAGCAAACAATTGCGACTGCACATTTGTCTAACCCTTCCCAAGTCTTGGAAACATTAGGCTTACTAGCAGGACAAGTTTCGGTGTTCGAGAGTGCTGGAAGTGTTGATTTAGATGATAGAGGGCACATTGAGTACAGTGAAAGTTCAATCAACTCTAAGAAAAAAGCTGCTGCTTCACGTTCAGAGTCTTCTACTTGAAACTTGACACTGAACTGGAGCTGAATATTTTCAAGCAATTCCTTCTACTATGAATAAGAATCTTTATACAGATACCGGTTTCATAGATTAAATAAGACAGTTTACAATCCTTTTAACGTGGTCGCAAATATTACAAGTTTTGTGATGGGAAGACTTGCTCAACAAAAGTTCTGGCACCTCGGATTTATTCGGACCTTTGAAATCAAATCTTAAGTCCTCAATTCATAACTACTGTTTGTATTGTTGAGCTATGTTTAGCAGTTTTTTACCAGCTTGGGGATTCCGAGCTACCAAGACCATAAATAAAACCGACAATCCCACCCAACTCACCCAAAAAAATGGAGAAAAGACTGATTTGAACGATATTGTAATCGAGCTTCCAAGTCTCTCTACCACCTCCAAATTGATTTTACACCCACTTCTTTTCAATGGAGTGCTCCAGACCATGTATTATGGTAGTTCTGGTGGTCAAGAAGGGTTCAAAGTATGGTATGGACGTGAGCTCTTTTCCTATAAAAATGGAGGTATTAGCTCTCTCGATTGGGTGATTGAAGAAGAAGCACCCGAATTATTCAAGGGAAAGTATAACGAGACTTTACCCGAGAACTGGCCTCGCTTGTTCCCCAGAACCCGGTTCTTCACAGCTGAAGAACTCGAAAACCTCAAGAATAATTCGTCAGAAACCAAGCCTTTGGTAGTGATTTTACATGGTTTAGCTGGTGGCTCTCACGAACCACTTGTGAGAAACTTTGCCGAATTGCTCACCTCTGGTAAAAACAAGGACAAATTTGATGTGGTTGTGAGCTTAAGTAGAGGATGTGGTCGTACTAAGGTCACTAGTGGTCACTTGTTTAATGCTTTGAGTAGTACTGATGATATCCATGAAGTTCTCTTGGAAATGAAGAATCGATATCCTAATAGACCTATTTATGCCGTTGGATTCTCATTTGGTGCCTTGACATTGTTAAACTACTTAGGAACGTATGCAAATGAAAGCTCAAAACTTTTAAAAGCAGCTGCAATTGTTGGATGTCCTTTCGATTTAGGAGAATCTACTCGGTTTATTGAATCGTCTTGGAGTGGAGCTTACCTTTTCAATAAGTCCATTCTTGCTTTCTTGAACAAATTAGTCAAAAACAACTTGAATGAGTTAAACAAGTATGAACCCGAATTGTTCAACAAGGAAAACCTTGCAATCACAATGGCTGCAAAAGAGACTCGAGTGTTCGACGAAGTTTTCACTTCTAAGAGTGCTGGTCTCAATACAGCCGACGAATACTACAAAACCAGCTCCAGTTTGACTTGGATCCCTCAGGTCAAAGTTCCGTTATTATCTATTTCATCGTCTGATGACCCAACAATAGGAAAGTTCATTCCAACTGAATTGCTCAAACAAAATCCAAACATCGTCTCGGTCGTCACCGATTTAGGGGGACACTTGGCTTTTGTGACTCCATCCAAGCAGTTTTGGAGTGTTCGTGTCATTGACGAGTTTCTAGAGGCCATGGAAACCACCTTATAAACAACTCAACCAAGTTATGATGTAACTATACAGATCAAATAGAAGACAATAGACATTATCCCCCACATTTTTTTGGCCTTTTTTGTAGGGTTTCGCTTCGCAACCCTGAAATTAAGGCACGCCCTTCAGCAGCCGCACCTTTTTAGCTTCAGCGCACCACCTCGTCGTTGCTTGAATTGTTTAATATCTTGAACTCGGAGGATGGTGGAAAAGATTTCATACCTTGAAATCAAGCTCAACTCTCCCCACAAAGATGTTGTTGTCATCAAAGGCAACGAGAACGAATGTGATCCGGTCCTTTTCGAAGGACAGGTGAAACTCTCTCTCAACAGCAACATACACTTCAGGAAGATCAAATTATCGTTGATTGGAGAAGCCAGTATTGTGTACTTTCTGAGGAATCAACAGGGAGAAATTCAGGATCAAATTGTCGAGAAGTTGGTCACTTTAAAGGTTGATTGGGACAATTTATTGGTGAATGAACAAGGATCAATAGTGCTTGGAGCCTATGGAGACAAACCGGTCAAGAGTTATAAGGTGAAAAAACTCCACTCTGCTCGTGAAGGTGGATCAAGTGGTACTTCTACGCCAACAGGAAAACCAGGATTCTTTAGAACTAATAGCACGCCTCATTTTGATGAGTTTGACCAAAGTTCTATCAAGCTTCCAGTTAGTGGGGTAGATGGGACCCCTTTTAAAAACCACCCTTCCCATCACTCATTTCTTCTTCCCAAGGGTAACTACACACTTCCATTCTCGGTTGTTCTTCCTACGAATGTTAGTGAGACTGTAGAAGGATTGAGTGTCGGTAAAATGTTATATCATTTACAATGTACTGTGCAAAAGGGAATATTTGACAAACCCTTGGTTAAGTCCAGATACCTTAGAATTTTCCGTACATTACATCCCACCAACCTCAGTTTAGTGGATAATTCTGAAATCAATAGTACATGGCCCGGAAAGGTGGAGTATATGGTGTGTGTGCATAAAAAGGGTCTTGCAATGGGGTCTAAAGTGCCTATCAAAATCAAAATGGTTCCACTCGCAAAAGGTTTAAAATTAAAGCGAGTTGTCTGTGAAATAGTTCAGCACCATCATGTTAGTTCTATGGTTGAACTGTCTCCTGAGTTTGAAAATATCATTGGTACTCAACAAATTTATGGAAAGCTTACTGACGACCAGTTGAGCTCAGACTGTTGGGAATTTTCGTGCAACTATCGAGTACCTAGTCGTCTTCAAGAACTTACTCAAACTTGTACGTTGAACCATGAATTGATTCAAGTCCGTCATCGGCTTCGAATTGTTATCCACATACAAAATCCAGATGGGAGAACTTCAGAGCTTCGTGCAAATCTCCCCGTAACCATTTACATTAGTTCAAATATTGGACATGTGTACGGCAACCATGCAGAGGTAGATCCTGTCACAGGAGTAGTTAATCTTCTGAAAAACATAGATGATCCAGTATTCAAGCGGGATCGGAAATGTGCGATGTCATCTGTGAATACTCCATTGATGTCTCCCATAGGCTCACCAGTAGCCTCTCCTCTTCAAACCCCATTGATGTCACCAGTCGGGTCTCAATCTGATCTTAGTGGAATGCTTCAGTTCCTGGCTCACACCCCATTGTTACTGGCATTTCCCACTTCAATTCTTCCTCGAGGATCCAATCTTGAAGTAGAGGGAGAAGAAGAGGAAGAAGATGAAGAAGGGGGTAGTGAGGAGGACGAATTGTCTAACATGGACCCTCCACCACCACTTTATGAACAGTCCAAATTCGATAAAATCTACGATATTTCGAGTCCAAAATCTCCAAGTGAACAACTTGGCATGAGCCAGATGTCTGGAGGATATTTTGACCTTCTGCTGCTGGCAATTCACACTCGAGTTCAAAGTTCCATAGACTTGAATGTTTTGAGTAAAGTCCCTAGCTACAATGAAGCGGTAGAGGAAGATGACGATGGCAGCAGATATCCAATGTCTCCTAGTTATGATCCTTCGATTCCATTCACGCAGCATTCAATGCTTTCTGGCTCCAATAGTTCTTTACTGGCTAGTTTGATAAGTAGCCATGGCAGTTTGCTGAATTTGAATATGAACCAGTCAAGAGATTTCAGTGTACACCAACGAACTCGCAGTAGTTTCAAGTTGAACTTACCCAAGAAAAATACCACCAGTCGAGATTCACGTTAATAGATCATTAGATTTCAAATACGCTATTCCATCTGCTCTTCTTTTTACACATTAGTTTGCTTCCACTTTCTCAGAACAGAAATTAGCTTGCGAAGTACATTTGTTTCGCGACTGAAAATTAATTAAAAAGACAACTCAAACGCTAATGTCAGTTCCTGGAGTTCAGCTCGGCGTGCCTCAAGGGCTGTCTAACAAAGCCCCAAATGGAGCCCAGATTTCACCACAAGCAATTCAACAAGCATTAGCACAAATGAAACCTATCGCTATTGGATTGTCCAATTATCTCAGAGACAACAAGATTTTAAAGAACAGAAAAGGCTTATTGAACAATACCGACGATATCGAATTCTTCCGTTACAAAAGACTTGTACGTGCCCTTGTAAGCGATGATTTCAAGTCCAAACAAGCAGACCCTAAGAACAGGTTAGTCCCAATAAAAGATGCTAAAGCAGCTGAAGAGTTATCCAAAGTGTTGATTCAAACTCAAATGATTATTCCCGTCACAAAGCTTCATTTCCATGAAATCAGACAAACTAATAAGAAGTGGACACCTAAAAGAGATAAGCCTACTCTCATCAAAAGCTCCAAGGCCGAGTTTTCACCAGATAGTTATTACATGTGGAATTATACCAAGCCAAATCCATTTATGATTGTGTATGGACTTTTATTGATTGCCGGTGTTTTCACCGTTATTTTGTTCCCATTATGGCCCAGGAAGATGAAAGTTGGTGTTTATTATCTTAGTATGAGTCTCTTGGGTCTCTTGGGTTTGTTCTTTGCCATTGCCATCGTTAGACTTATCATCTACCTCATTACGTTACTTTTCGGTAAGCCTTTCTGGTTGTACCCCAACTTATTTGCTGATGTGGGAGTCATTGAGAGTTTCATTCCTTTATATGAATGGGAGAAACCCAAGAAAAGAAAGAGCACTGGCTCCAAGACCAGTTCTACGGTGGAATTGAAAGATGTAGAGTAAATAAACTTCGCGCAGAATAATAATATCATCACAATCTGGAGATAGGAATGAATAACATCCGATTCAACCAAGACAATTCATGTATGGCTGTGGCATCAGATACCGAGAGTCGTATCTTTAATAGTGAACCCTTTGGAGAAATATATACAAACGATTCTCCTGTGTTCCTTTTAAAGGTACTTTTCTCGACCTCCTTAACGATCATAGTCCCTAAAGAGAAAGATAACCGGCTTCTCAAAATCTTCAATTTGAAGCAGAATCTTAAGATATGTGAGCTCATATTCCCTAGCTCTATAGTCGAAATCAAAATCAATAAGAAACGGTTAATTGTGGTGCTAAAAATAGGACAAATATATATCTATGATTTAAGTTATGTGAAGCTTATCAAGATCATAGAAATTGAACCACTAGGTTCTCAGCCATTTGTGGGGGATCTTTCTAATGACGATCATTCACTTCTTGTGATTCCCTTGAAGTATGTTAGCACTGTCATGGCAGGGAAATCCAAAAATAATGGCATCTTTACCGACCCGGAGCCTCTAGTCAAGTTTAATAACTTTGCGGAGTATAAAGACCCAAAGGGATGGGTTTTGGTGTATGATACTATCAATTTGAAGAGTGTATTGATCATGAAATGCCATTCGTCCAGCATCCGTAAAATTGTCATTTCTGATATGATCATAGCTACGGCTTCTTCTAAAGGAACTATTATTCGGTTGTTTCAGCTTAACTTCAAACAGTCTGAAGATATAAAGCTAACAAGAATTCTTAATTTGAGACGAGGACACAACTCAGCCCACATACACTGCTTAAAGTTCAATACTGATTGTACCATTCTAGCATGTGGGTCTGAAAATACTATACATTTTTTCAGTCTAAAATACAACGAAGATATCATTGACGGTCATAATTATGGAACTAGTACATTGAAAACATATGAAGCGGGTGATGGTGATGAACACGAAACAGATTATAATATTTCCCAGTCATCTTTGCTCGATGCAGAGAGCTCTAAGCTGTCAGAAGACTTAAACGAAAACCTAGCTAACTTGCTTATATCAAAGCCTATTCCTAATGAAATAGAGGAGAATGATAAGGATGTTGATAACTCAAGTGATTCTAAGTATTGGAAGCTTTCGAAAAAGCTCACTTCCAAATACACCAAAAAATAGTTAAAAACCTTCCCTATAAAGACTATTTCAACAACTTGGTTCTCCTGCCACCTCGCCGTTCTTTTAATATCATCAGGTTGAAAGATCATAAACCAGTGGAAATAGGATTTATTGATGACTTGGTGTTGGTTGCTTCATACTCAAGAAAGTTCTACCAATACAAATTTGATGAGGGTAGTAGAGAGTGTCGATTGGTAAGCGAATATGACTACTAAGCATTTCAAAACAGTCATATATCGGACCATTTGTTGCACACTTTCGTAAAAGCAGGGGTTTACATATCACTATGTGAAACAATTTGCTGAAATTATTGGCCAAAGCCTGGACCACGATACCACTTAAGATTCCAGTTCTAATAGAAGAACTTTAGAGCATGTGTATATGGGATTTTATAAAGGATAAGATGTTCCCATTTATATATAAACTGTGAGACGGAGTTCAAGCGACTCCGGCTAATAATACATTATGTAGACTTTTTCCTAATCAGGGTTTTTTGAGGAAACAATCACATATTAAGTGGTAGAAATGTTATATCTTCGGGTTCCTGTTCAGCCTATGTTGACAGTACTTAACATTTCCCTTTTGCAGGTAAATATTTAGCGCATCTATGTTTTCTCTCACGTATGCAAATTCCCTCGAAAAGAGGTTGCGCGGAGTGCGCGCACGACCACCCATTGGCCAAATTTTTCACGCTTCGTTCAAAGAGGAGAACCGCCAACCCGAAAGTATGAGTTCTAAACTCACATTTATTAGATCACTCATGTCTAACGGAACGTCTAATATCGTGGACGATGTATTGTTTCACAATAAGAACCTTGCTCGGGTCATTAGTTTGAACAGACCTGGAAAATTGAACTCGCTCAATACGTCGATGGTTTCCAAGATCTACCCCAGACTCGTTGAATATGCTAAATCCGATATTAACAACATGATCATCTTGGACTCGACTAGTCCTAAAGGTTTATGTGCTGGTGGTGATGTTGCTGAAGCAGCCAAGGAGATTTTGAACGATAACTCAGATTATGCTGTGAATTTTTTCAAAGGTGAATACAATTTGAACTTTTTAATTGGGACTTATCCCAAGCCCTTCATTGCTTTAATGGATGGAATCACCATGGGTGGAGGTGTTGGTTTATCTGTACATGCACCATTCAGAATCAGTACTGACACCACTAAACTTGCAATGCCAGAAATGGATATTGGATTTTTCCCCGACGTAGGAACGACGTTTTTCTTACCAAGGGTGGATGATAAAGTTGGTTATTATGTTGCTTTAACCGGCACTGTTTTATCGGGTCTTGACGCTTATATGTTGGGATTCGCCACTCATTATGTTCCACGCGATCGGTTGGGATCGTTGGTGAACAGGTTATCGAACCTACAACCACCAAACCAGACTAATTTGTCAGTGAGTAACCAAAAGGAGTACTACCAACAAATAAATGACATTATCAATGAGTTCACTGATACAAAGTTACCAAAGGACTACAACTACCCTTTCAGCACAGAACAACTTATTGTAATCAAAGAAGCATTTAGTCAGCCTACGTTCGATGACGTTTTGAAATACTTGGTTGACTCTTCCTCCCAATTTGCTAAAGAAACCTTAGAGAAATTGTTAGCCAAATCTCCAACTTCTTTGAGAGTTGGATTCGAATTGATGAACCAAGGAGCCAAAAATTCGCTCAGAAAACAACTTGAACTCGAGCTCATTACGGCCGCTAACATCATGACTTTGAATCCGGAAATCAATGACTTTGTGAAAGGAGTTAAACACAAATTGATCGACAAAATCAAGGAGCCAAGTTTACCTGAATGGAGTCCTGTTACAGATGCTGTCAAATTAATGACCAGCTCAATAGAAGTTGGTAAATTAGAAAAACCTTTGATCCATAGTGTGTTCAACATCGACTATGTTCATTATCCATATAACTTTGGGGTGCCTAAAAACAATCAGATCAAGTCCTTCATCAATGGCACAGACACTAAACGTTCATATTTACCAACCGTAAAAGAGGTTTACAGCCATTTTAAGTCCGATAAATTAGGAACTGAGCTAAAGTTGCAAAGCACTTTGGAATTACATGGAGACTTGCAAAAGTACCAAAGTAAATATGTTTCTTGGGTTGAATAGGCTCAGAAATCACACATGCACTTGTCAATATGTATACGTTTGTATTATTTTTTTCTGTAGATAATTTATAGCTTCTTTATTACCAGTTACTGGTTGAGGCTTTTTTAATTACTTTGATTTCTTTTTCTACTTTACATCTGGTTCGTATAATACAATAAAGCTACTCCTCCCACTCACTTCAATTTCTCCAAGATATAGTCCTGGCCGTATTCCAAATAATCTTCTCTGCTAACGAACCAGTCATTTACAATCTCACTATTCAGATTCAACATCAAGCTCAAATTACTGGCACCCAACCAACTGCTGAATTTCTTGTCCCAAACGCTCACCAAATCTGAGTTCAAAAAGTGCAACTTATGGGTGTATTCCGGGAAATACTTGTAGATCAAATTGTACATGTCGTTGATAACTCTTGAAGTTAAACCTTGAAGCAAAGAAGTGTTTCCTGTGATTAAAATGTTGGATTCTAAAGCTTTGAGCACCTCAACCGCTTTGTTGAAATTGTTTCTATTGTTGGCAAGCACGTTCATTTCAATGTTCTTTAATACACTCAAAATGAAAAATGATAACCCATTAGTCGAAGGATCATCCAATTTGGGTTCTACGTTAACCAAACTGCTTATTTGAGGAGTGAAAAGTGGCTCCAACAAATCAATTTGCTCGTTGACAACAGGCACGTATTGATGGTTAGGCAATTGATAGTTCTTTTTAGCCAATGAGCTGTATGCAGCGGGTTGTGCCATCGGAGGATTCAAAGAACATTGTAACATTGCGAGCTTGAAAGGTTTCAAAATTTTCTTGGAGATTTGATACTTCTTGTATGATTCAGAACAGTTTATTCCCCAGTTGTTCAATTCCACATTTTGAGTGCCTAAGTAGTTCAAAATATTTGCATCAATGAAATCCCCAGCGTAACTGGATTTGAAATTAAACTTGTTCTGAATGACACCATCCAAAATGGTAGTAATGGTAGTGGAGGCTGATCCTAAGTTCACCACAAGCCCAGATGGAGTTCCATGGTTATATAATTGGCACAATGGCTTTTTCACAAGCGAGAAAATTGGTACTTCGAATTGTTCAAATACAATTTCACTGGTTTTGATTTTATTCTTATCTGAATTGTTAACGGCTTCTGTCAATGTAAGCGGGAAGTCCTTGGGATCAACTCGAAGGTTGTTGTCCACATGATCATAAACATACTCCCAGTTTTTGGCGATGTTATCGAAATCATAGACGATACCATTATTCAATAAAGTGTACACTTCGTTCTGTGGGTACTTGTCTATTTCATCATCGCCAATGATCACTTCACTAGAGTCCAGCGCCTTGGAATAGTTACTGTTGAAAACTAGCGATGGTAAATCTTCAGAGGCGAAGCCGGCCTTGGTGGTATCTGTCCCGTTATCTATAACTATTGAAGGGCTGGTATACATTTGGATAGGATAGTTTTGTTTTTCCAGCGTCGTTGGTTTTAAAGGAAGCGCGCACCTGTGTGAGTAAAAATAGGAACGACTCCGCAAAGATTTGAGACGAGCATGGTAGTAAGCTTCCTGATGAGAGGAACTTTTCTGGTGTATTTGTCGGCACCTTCTAGAGAAATTCAGGTTGTTTTTTTACTTTAAGCTGCTAATTGCAATAATTTAACTCACTACTTAATCTTGTCAAACTTACGAAGCTTTTCCTTCAAAACCTGAACTTCATTGCGTAAAATCCCCACTTCGATCAATAAATTCAGTTTGTTGCTAAAACAAATCATCTGCATCAACTTCTCGTTCTCAGTCAGCAAGCAGTTAATCTTGTTCACTACCTTGTGTATTAAGTCTTCGTGTGATGAATCTTTTCCATTCATTGACAAGGAGATAAGAACTGACTCTAAATAAGTTTTCAAATTGTTGCACTCTTTGGTTTTAGCAGCTAATTGAGTTGATACATCCTTAAAGAGCTCGTAGAAAGACGTGTTGGTGATTGGAATATCTTTCAGTCCAGATTTCCCTCCCATTTCTGACATTTCCTTTGACTCTTTAGATGTGAGCTTCTTTTGCAAATTGGAAACCATCTGAGTTTTCAAATTTAATTGCATCTTGAGCTTCTCTATTTCGTTGTGGTAACCGACTGACGAAGAAGGGTTGTACGTGCCCATATTAGAACTAACTGTAGCAACTCCCATGTTTCTTGACAAGTTCAACCCATTGTACAATTCGGAATGGCTGGACGGTTGTGGTTGGTGGTTTGAGGTTGACAGGTGGGTGCTTGAAGGGTAATCCAAGTAGTCAAATGAAAAAGAAGTAGGTAAAGTGGACATGAGTGGAACTTGTTGAAGATTTTGGAAAAGCAAGAAGGGGTAATCGAACAATTTTATACTTTTTCTAGTTAATGAGGATGAGGGGGACCTATATATGTGATAGATATCATGGCTGCAAATTGATTAACGTGTGCTCACCAAGTGTGGGACTTTTTCCAGGTCCAATCTTGCTTAATAGAAAATAGTACAAATTACTTCCAAGACCAAAAAAATATGTATATTCGATATGTGCCTTTCTATAACCTGACAGTTCGTATTTTCCTACTGAAAGGTCGTAATCGACTTCAAATTGAAGTATCGCTGTCCCTTACGTTCGCGGACCGTTCGTGATCCTGTCGCGCGATTTTGAAAAAACTTCAATCCACATACAGCTGCTGCTAAGAACTATGATTCTCTAGAATCAATAACACAACGATTGATATCTAAACCCTACTCATGTCTGTTAAAACCTCGCCTGTGCAAGATGTCACCTATGACCTGACAGCACTTAATCAAATCAAACATTTCAAGCTCCAATTAACCAACCTACTCAATCAGAGCTTCACGGATCCAGCCTTACTTTTAGGCTTAAACAGTGTAATTCTCCCTAAATTCACTGATTGGACAACTAAAGACTTTGATAACTACTATAAGCTACTTGAAGTTGATTGTGTGAGTAACCAAGTGGAATTTAATACCATCAAGTTTCTCGACACCCTTTGGATGAATTTCCATTATCCGATCATCAAGTTTTTCAAATTAAAGCATAAGGAAATGTCTCCTATTGATAGTCAAGCACTTTCCAAAAACGATCCTCCAAAACTAAGAACTGTTGAAATTAGGAAGATCAATGATTTTTTCATCAAATTCACTAAAACCACGTACGGTTTTTATAGTGATATCCTTCAATACTTTTCAACGAATTTCCAGAATCCTTTACTTCCAAGTTCATTTCTCAAACATTTTAACTATGAGTTGAATAATAGAGCTCGAGAAACTCATAGCCCCACTTTACAGGCCAATTTGTTGTATGTGATGCACAAATGTCTCTTATGTCTTGGAGACCTTTTGAGACATCGTTCATTTATTGAAACGAACTATGTGTTACCCAATATTTCCATCAAAAACTATTTTCAGTTTAAGAGCAAGACAGGTTTTGCAACTGGAAAATTGTTGGAATACTATCATCCATCAAGTGTTATGTACAATCTTTGTATCCAGTTGCTACCTGCTCTTAACGAACCTTATAACCATTTGGGGATGATTCATAATATGTCCAATGACAAAATGACAGCCATTTACTGGTTTTTAAGAGCAAACTTCACTAGACTAAGTGGTTATAAACTAGGGCTTACAAATCTCAATAACTTACTTGTTCAACCTTGGGTTAAGTTGGATTTAAGTAACCTTTTAAGGGCGAGATCCCCAAACCATGGAAGCATTACCAACGATCAATTGAATTTAATGCTCACTTCCATCATATGTTACCATTATCTTCCTGAAAAGTACCGATTACCGGGTAATCGGATTTTGGGTAATTTAAAAGTTGGAAAACTTGAGTTCATCTTTTTAAGCTTAAACTTCAATGAGAATGTTTTCCAGCGCAGTCAGAAGTTTACGTGTGGAGTACCTTTAGAGGACTTCTATTTGTTTCAATTGACGCTATTGATATGTTTTACCCGGCTTATGAACACTCCTAGTTTCTCAAAATTTGTTAACATGTATTTGGAGTTTTATCTCAAATCATTGAATGAGCCTAAAGAAAGTACCATTACCAAGAATAGTTCCGCATTGATGTGCATTCGATTGTTGCTTAACTGGCTTCTGCTGCAAAACAAGCGATTTCTTAGCTTGAGCAATGTGAAATTGCTTGGAGAAGTGATGAATAAAATGGTTGGCGATTATACAGTCGATGACTTAACCACTAAACCTATTAGAAACTACTATTTTGCCGAGGATATCATGTTTAAAGACTTCAAACTCGTACTGCACCAACTCAAGGATTTCAATGATAATCACTTGTTTGAAGCGAACAATATTGACCTTTTGAATAATAACTTCAGCTCTTTGGTTGTCGATGGAGTACCCATTTTCCTTGACAATACTTTCATCAAAGAGAACCAGTTCAAAAGCGATGATGCGTTCATTCAATCTGAAGTTCAAAAGTACGAAAATACATCTAGGGTTTTGGCAGTGTTAAGTCAGTTCTATGATCTTTTCCAAGATAAGTTTACCTTCAATGGTAATTTTGTGATGAAGAAGTACGAACGTAAGATCAAGATTATGCAACAGAAGCCTCATGGTTCAATACATCGGAACAAACACCCAGAACCCCAAGAGCTTGACCAATCCCACGGAGAAATAATTATATCTTCTATAGAGGGCCATACAAAACCTCCAGTGAACCACGATTCAAGTGGATCAGAGGAAGAAAATGGACATGCCATCCAAAATGTAATTGACGACGAAAGTCAGCACGAAGAATCAGATAATGATATGATGCCTGACACGTCAATCGATGAAATTGAAGAGTTTATCCGTCACCATACAACTCAGCTTCAATCTCAAATGCAACAAGAGGAAATCTTGACATCCACCTCAAACCCAGCTCCCCCTTCAACTCGGGGCAACTCTGATTCTTGGGAGGCTGAGGTGGCCGCTACTCCCGTCACCAGCCAAACCTCAACCCAAGAGAATTATAGCACCGCCAACAGTGGTACGCAAAGTCCTGCCACTTCTTTTCCCATTGGTGCTATGAGCATGGCTCCAGGTTCGGCAATGCATACGTTCGCGAATATGGCACCACCAAATATGGTCCCATATTCTGGAACCGGGTTGCTTGTCCCTGGGCCCAACTTAATACCATATGCGTACCCTTCTGCGGTCCCCGCCCAACCCGGGATGCCTCCAGTGCAAGCTCAATACTGGCAGTTCCATTATTCGCAGCCACCCCCGTTCCCCGGCCAATTTCCTCCTCCAAAGATGGGTATGAACCCGAACCAACAACCAATTTTCCAACCTCCCTTCCCACCAAATTCACAATTCCCTCCTCCAGATCAATCATATCCTCCTAACGCTAATTTTGATTCTGGCTGGCACGGCCCATAACTGGGTCGTTTAGCGTATGAGCGTGCGAGCTGCAACCGCGCATCAAAAAAATTTCAAATTAACTTTAGATCCGGACAATATATAAGATATACTGTCACAGCTGTATTCCCCAAAACAGGTTTTTAAGATGTCCAGCATCACCCACCGTAAGGCTAATAAAACATTCACATTCACCACCCCGGCAGCAGATGCTCTGATCGAAGTGTTGAATGAATTCTACTGGACTAATGAACTCGAACCACATTTTCTAAGAAGAAAGCACATATTGGCCAAACACCCTGGTGTAAAAAAACTAACGGGTCATGAACCACTTACGAAATGGCTAGTGATACTTGTGGTGATTTTGCAGGTATCAACTGCATATTATTTAAAAGATACTCATCCACTCACAGTTAAATTCTTCCTATTGAGTTATATTATAGGTGCTACTGCCAATCAAGCCATTTTCCTTGCTATCCATGAGCTTTCCCATAACTTACTTTTCCGTAAGCCACTTCATAACAAGTTGTTTGCCATAGCAGTCAACTTGCCGATTGGTGTTCCTTATAGTGCCTCATTTCAACCTTACCATCAACTACATCATAAGTTCTTGGGTGACGAATATTTGGACACGGATCTCCCCACCAAACTTGAAGGAATGTTGTTTTCAAATGTCTTGGGCAAGGTTTTCTTTACTACTTGTCAAATTTTTTTCTATGCTTTAAGACCAATGTTCATCACCCAAATTAAGTTTACATATATTCATTTGATCAATGTGGTATATCAAATCGGAATTGATTATTTGATCGTTACTTACTGGGGTTGGCATTCCATGTTTTACTTTTTGATGAGCAGCTTCTTGGCCGGTTCATGGCACCCTTGTGCTGGCCATTTCATCGCTGAACACTATGTCTTGAATGAAAATAACATTCCAAAACTTGAAGCAAAAGGCGAAGCATCCAAAACGTATGTTCCAAAAGAGCTCTTACCAGCAGAAACTTACAGTTACTATGGTCCTTTAAACTGGCTTACTTGGAACGTGGGTTACCATAATGAACATCATGATTTCCCTTATATTGCATGGACTCGGTTACCAAAGTTAAGAGCTATGGCCAGTGAGTTCTACGACCCATTGCCACAAGTCCACAGTTGGACCGGGGTGATTATATGGTTTGTATTAAATGACGTCAATCTGTTGTGGAATCGTGTCAAACGGTCTGGGAAAGAGAAAAGTGGTAAAAAGGTTGGCCGTTTAGACGTAAACTCCTAAATATTTGAATCTATAAGACAAGAATATGAAACTTTATAAACAAGTAGAGAGGTTTATAAACCTTTGATCAATCTGGTGATTTCATCCATTCCATCTTTGTTTAAAGCATCTAATTTCTCCTTCACGTAGTCAACCAAGGTTCCTGCTTCAATTAACTCACCTTCATCACTATCATTTCCTTGGTTCAATAATTTGATTCTTAATTTACCTGCTGGGAACTCTTCTTTACCCAATATCACCGCTACTGATGCACCAGACTTTTCAGCAGCGTCGAATTGTTTCCGGATATTGGCTTTGGCCTTGTATAAATATTCGCAGTTGATGTCATTATCCCATAATTGTTTGGAAACTGACATTCTTTCTTTCAAGAACCCGTTCCAGCCTTCACCACCCCCAAAAGCCATGACGTATACTTGAGTCTGTGAAGCACTCTGGTTCACCAACTGCTTTGCAATTCTGGTCTTGATGATAGAAAATAATCTTTCGACTCCGAATGAGATTCCAACACATGGAATAGACTTTCCGTTGGAAAACATCCCCACTAAACCATCGTATCTTCCACCAGCAGCAATAGAACCAACACCAACATACTCTGAAGCATCTTCATCTTCTTTTCCCTTAGCCTTAGCCTTCAATTCAACGGCATTTTTGGGGGGAGCAGAGGCACCCGTAACAGCTTCATAAATCAAACCAGTATAGTAATCCAATCCTCTGGCCAAAGACAAGTCGAAGGAAATGCGGTCATTGATATCAAAAGCATCAACGTAGTCTGCTAACACAGACATTTCTTTGATACCAGTCTGGGCACTTTCGTTCGACGCTAAAATCTCACTCTTCTCCAAAAGATTCAAAACTTCTCTGATGGTACCTTTTAACTTCACGAACTCACCAATTCTATTAGCTACATCTTCCGATTGGTTCTTCTCTTCAATCATTTCCTTTTTAACGGCTTCCCAGGGAGCTTTGTCTAACTTATCGACTGCACTACTTATTCTTCTCACGTCTTCATCCTTCACACCACAACTCTGGAAAATTCCATCCAAAATCTTTCTGTGATTCAATTTAATTTTGAAGTCCTTGATTCCCAAACCGCTTAATCCTTCAACAAGAATATTCAAAATCTCTGAGTCTGGTACCATCAAGTCGTAGTTTCCAGCAATATCGAAATCACACTGATAGAACTCTCTCATTCTTCCTTTAGTCATGGCAGGTTGGTCCCTTCTGTAGACTTTAGCAATGTGGTATCTCTTAATGCTGGTAATGTTGTTTGCAGCCACGAATCTAGCAAATGGAACTGTCAAATCGTAACGTAAAGATGTCAATTCACCACCTTGATCTTCTAAATTGTAGATCAATTTAGAATCTTCCCCATACTTTCCAGTCAAAATCTCTCTCAATTCGAAAACTGGAGTGTCAATTGTCACACCTCCATGTCTCTTGAACATGGAACTTAAAGAACCAAAAATACCTTCTCTGATCACCATATCTTGATCAGCCCAGTCTTTAGTACCCTTTGGTACTTTCAACACAAACTGGCTTGAGTCAGCTGCCTTTTTGGCATTTTTCTTACTGATCTTTGTACCAGCTTTTTTAGAAGCCTCTCCTATGTTCGAGTTGCTTGTTTGAGATTCTGCTGATTGCAAAGCTTCCTTTATGGCCTCTTTAGCGTTGCTTGTGGTCGACATTTTCTTTATACTATTAAAAAGCGGTCTGAATTGAAGCATACATCAAAAAAATTTTCTGGTGCGAACTGAGGTGCCAGAAGACAATAAAAATAACCAGAGTTACTGGACAATAAGAAGCCGAAGCCGTTGTTAAAGTATCCTCGAGGTCTCACAACATCTTTACATTGGCTCCCGGAGTTTCTTTCACGACTACTTCACCCTCTACTTTCATCTTCATAGTGCTGTCTCGCTGACCCACAAACAAGTGGTCTGCAAAAAGTTAAGACAACGTCACTGTCATAAAAGCATTTTATTACTCTATTTACACAATAGTTCATTGGAAACCCATACCAACAACTGACTCCGCTTTGTTTCGTGAAAATTTAGTCTTCATTAATTCCATTGGGTCTACTGAAATTCAATCTCATTACACCATCACTAAGGATTCTTTTACCCCAATTACCAGCAGCTGGATCACCTGTTTCATCTCTGCATTGTTTTAGAAATGGAAGCAAAGCAGTTCCTCCAGTTCCACGTTGTTCTTCCTCTTTTTTCTTGCTTCTAGATTTTGCCAAGCCAGATCTCATTGTTGAAGAAGAGCCTAGCTTACTTCCCTTCTTGGCTTGCAAAATGATATATCTGGTAACAATTTGGATATGTTTATCTCTGAACAGCTTCAACATAGCAAGAGAAGCATCGTAGCTGAGCGTGAGTTCTGGGTACTGGTCCCTGCGGCTGGTAACATATTCACTGATGGTTGATATACTTTCAATCTTTTGTAAGAACTCCCTGTGTGGTCTAGGCATATATTCTCTCATTTCATTCATAAAGTTACTCTCACTGGGTGGTTGAGTATTAGAAGGCGTATTCTGGTGGGGCACGGGCCTTTGCCCTGTTGGAAAATGTTTCACATTCAATAAAGCATCCAAAAATTGGATAGATGAAGATTGAGCATTGGAGCCACCAGCATATACTTTAGGATTCGGATCATTACCATATATCACACCACTCTTATCTAGGCCTGCATCCGCCATATTTCTCCAACCTGCCAAAAATGGTCTTATCCTAAAATAAAAGATATGGGGATCACACATCTCTTCCATTCTCATCAACACGGAACCCAAGTGATCAATCATTTCAGCCAAAGTTTGAAGGTGCTTTGTTACAAGTTCAGGAGCATCTTGTTCAATGGCTTCCAATATCTTTAAACCTGTGTTCACTGTGAAGCTTGCCTTGTATTCAAAATGAACACTAATCAAATAGAACCAGCTCTCATCCATGCCACCCGTAAAAGTGTTTATAGTGGTTAAATTGTCAAGGTCCCATACATTTGACTCGTCAGGAACAATTTGCTTGAAGTTCCAAAGACATAACCCTGCGTATGTGGCCAACGGAGGTAGTCCCAATGGCTCGCTTACTTCAAGCAATGGTTTTGCAATCTGTTGTGGTAGTTTATTTATGGGTTCATCACTCCCCCATATGTAGCCATGAGCCAAAAACCCCAATACTTGGTAGGCTCTTCTTTGTTGTTCAAAACTTTCAAGTAATGTTGTGTCAAGAAGGGGTAACTTATTGATAACCGTCCTAACTCTCCTATTCAATATCAATGAAGGTAAGTTAGACACGATGGTTTCCCAAGGCTTATAATAGTCTTGAGGCAATTTTTCAAGTGGTAGTTTCGATGGTAGAAATCCTGAGGTTGGATAAACCCCATAGTCTTCTGGGTTTATCATATTGGTGTGCTGATAAACTAAGGTGTTTCGGAATCAAACGGTTTTTGTCAGCAGAAATTTTCATGGGCTGATGCGAAATCGGGGCTAGTCTAAGATTTTGGTTTTCGGAGAGCAGTCATGGTATCTGATGCGATCTTCTCTCCAGATTGCACCACAAGTGGTACGAGGTCAAAGCTATAATATTGTTCTACGCATGAATCACTAATCTTAATTTCTTGGAGTTAATGAGAGCATAACTACTGGAATCACACTTGTTTACCTCAAAACCGATGCCCTAATGGTACCTTTCTCAACCACTAGACATTAGTTCAAGAAAGGTCCTCATTACAGTGCTGCTTCTTAATTCTTAACTTCTTGCGTTCCGACTGTTTTGTCGTATGAAGATTTCTATGAAACCAAGAACTTCAAAAATGTGTGTCTGTAGGATTTTACTTATCTGAATTGGGGGCTCGTTGTAGAAGCTTTTTTATAGCTGTGAAAGGGTGGCTTGATTACGACGAGATAATTTTGTCTTCAAGTTCAGATGAAATTATACCACCTTGTAGAGAGAGGAGATGGTCCACCAGATCAAGAAGCCAATAGCTTCCTGGTTAGTAGCTTTCAAGAATATACTTTCAAATCCCATGGTGTTTGTGTAGTAGAGGATCGAATTCACAAAATAGGCTGCGAAATCAATTGAGTATGGCGAGATACAAGAATTATAACTCATAACTCGAGACCATTCGAGCTTATTCGAGCTCATCTTGAGTACCAATGATTTGTGATCGACTGCTCCCTTGTACTTGTGATATTGTGTACTGTTCACTACCAAGAAGGTTTTCTACACTGCAAATACGTACAAAGTGCTCCAAATAAACCATACAAATGCCGAATTAATGCCCAAAATAAATTTTGACTATTTTATAGACTGACGGTCGGATTTATATTGTAAACGAGGAGGTTCCACCATAAGTATACACCGTTTAAGCCCGTTCTCGTTGTAAGATGGACTTGTTAATTGTCAATTGCACGACCATATGTTTCTTAGGCGCGGACCCCTTGATCACGGAAAGAAGCTTGAGTATCCAATTTCTACCAGTGTAGGTAAACACATCGCAATATGTCTTTCAAAGGATTGAAAAAAACAATTGTTAGAGCACCACAGAACTTTCGGCAAAAGTTGAACATGGGTGAAATAACCCATGACCCTGTTTATGCCGATGCTGAAAGAAGATTCAAAGAATTGGAGCTTGAAACCAAAAAATTGAGCGACGAAAGTAAGAGGTATTTCAATGCTGTAAATGGGATGTTGGATTACCAAGTGGATTTTAGCAAGGCCATTGAGGAAATCTATAAGCCTATCAGTGGGAAATTAAGTGATCCTAATGCTGCTCAACCTGAAGATAACCCTGAAGGTATTAAGGCTAGTGAGCTGTACCGAGAGGTTGTCCTCGAGTTGAAAGAAACTTTAAAGCCAGATTTGCAGTTGATTGAAACTAGGATTGTTGCTCCAGCTCAAGAGCTTTTGAAGGTCATTCAATGTATTAGAAAAATGGCCACCAAAAGAGATCATAAGCAAGTTGACTTGGACAGGCGTAACAGAACTTACAAAAAGTACCAAGATAAAAAGGAAAGAACAGCGAAAGACGAAGAAAAGATGTATAATGCCGAAGCTGAAATCCAAATTGCTCAACAAGAGTACGATTATTATAATGACATGTTGAAAACCGAATTGCCTATCTTGTTCCAAATGCAAAGTGACTTCATTCGTCCATTGTTTGTGAGTTTCTATTATATGCAATTGAATATCTTCTACACTTTATACAACCGAATGGAAGAATTGAAAATCCCATACTTTGACTTGACCACTGATATTGTTGAAGCCTACCATTTCAAAAAGGGCGGTGTGGAAGAACAAACTGATGCCATTGGTATTACCCACTTCAAGGTGGGACACGCTAAAGCCAAATTGGAAGCTACGAAGAGAAGGTTTGCTGCTCAAGGTGCTGAAGGAACTCCGGCTTATGGGGCTTATGGTGCTGGTGAAACGAATACGTTGCCACCTTATTCCCCAGGTGCTGCTCCCGTTCAACAATATGGTGATTACAAGAACCCCAATGGACCTGGATATGTAGCACCAGGCCAACCCCAATATGGTCAGCCACAGTACGGACAACCGCAATCACCCCAGTACCAAACACCTCCAAGTTCGGCCCCTGCATACGGTGCAGGTGTTGCAGCCCCAGCTTACGGAGGTTACGGATCACCAAGCCCGATCTCTCCGACCCCTGCTACACCTGTTTCGGCTATTGCCACCGGATCCCAAACCTGTACTGCATTGTACGAATATACTGCTCAAGCTCAAGGCGATTTAACGTTCCCAGCTGGAGCCGTTATAGAGATTGTTGAGAGAACCGCTGATGTCAACGGCTGGTGGACCGGAAGGTACAATGGACAGACTGGTGTATTCCCGGGAAATTATGTTCAACTTTAGCTGAATTCACCATGTATTTAGAAAATTAATCTGCGCTTGCATCCAGTACATCAAATATTGATACATACACATAGTTCCAAATGGTAGGGTTCAAGTCCCGCATTCAAAGCCTGTTATTGAAAGAGTACAAGGCTGTATGGTTTTAAATTGCTGTAATCGCTATTAATAGAGTATGCCCCATATTCAATAAACTTGTAGTTAGCAATATGAAACGGTCGCTTTGAAACAAGCCTCTTGTGATAAGCGAAAAATTGCAGCCACGAAATTGGGAGTATTGCCCATAACTAACACATGTGATTAATTCTCTTGGGCCCACCCAAAAGGGTAGTGATGGTTTGGTCCACCTTTGTAGAGTAATACATTTACTCTAGCCGCAACAACCAAAGAATCTGATTTCCTTGATCATAATGCACTGGCTCTGCATCGAAATAAAGCTACTTGCACACCCGTCTCTTGACTATGAGTAATAAGAAGCTCTATATCTTCTTCATATCAATCTATATCACCCATTACGACTAGTATTACACATTCTTATGTTCCTAATTTACAAAATAGTCTGGACCTCGGGTTAAGGAATTACTTCCTCAATGCCAAAATCAACCTCTAGTGAAGGGATGTCTTGCTTATTACCATTCGCCTGACTCTCGTGGAGCAATACCAGACATGTTAAAAGCATACTGGTAATTACAATTTATTATTAGAAACTTACCAGCTAGGTAAAGTCATGCCAATTCTAGACCTTTTTTTCGCCTGCGGTCGCGTCCAGGTCTCAAAAAAAAGCCCTCCCCATAAGGGGTACAAGCGAAAGAGACTTTCCAGGCTATATCGTCTCCATATAAGAGAAAGGAACAGGTGTGTGCTTATATTGGTACTATTTACAATTTAATTTTGTCTAGACAACCCAAGAGGTGGTCATTAAATTCACGAAGGCGATTTTCGTGGATCGTTCGCTTTTTCACTATTGCACAAAACAAGAGGATTTCTCTGGCAACTCACCCATTTTCATTGATCTCAGTGCGCAAAAACAATTGACGAAAAGTATTGTTTTTGCAAGTCATTAGGTTTTTTTCCCCTTGAAAAAGAGACCCCCAATTTCAAGCTATACATCTTATAAGGTACCCCATAAGTTAAGTTGTTCTTGGGATCCAATACAATTTATTTCCGTTCTTTCTCCACTTTTGTATTCAACTGATAACCTATTCCCCAGACTTAAGTAGTCCTAGACGTGTATCAATATTGGTTAATGGTATAATATGAGCCACTCTTCTTCTCCAAATAACCGCAATTCGATATTCGGTTGGGTCAAAAACTTGAAGAATAAGAACCTTCTATCCAATGAAAGTGTCAATGAAATAAGTGATAATGATATAATGTCATCTAGTGACTATAAATATAGTGATGCTGAGAATATTCCCAGTTCCAATCAAAACTCTTACAACCAGGAGTTTCTTAGGCCTCTGCTCAACCACAAGTCAAGATCAGCCAATAATGTTAATAGGGTGAGGTCCCACAGTCAAAGCGACAACAATTCAGCCATAAACCATTTTGGGAACACTCCCAACCCCAATGCTAGCATTAGACAACATCGAGACTCCTTTTTGTTGAGCAACCCCTTAGTCGATAAGAACTCAAAATACTTTGGGGTCCCGCTTGAAGAAGCTGTCAATCAAGCATGTGCTAAAATATCGATATTTGCTGAAAATGATTCAGGTGAAGTTTTGCAATATGGTAGAATTCCAGTTGTGGTAGCCAAATGTGGGGTGTTTTTGAAAACCAATGGTTTGAGCGTGGAAGGTATATTCCGGGTGGGCGGTTCTTCAAAGAGATTGAAAGAATTGCAGGTATTATTCAATACTCCCCCAGATTTTGGTAAAAAATTAAACTGGGACGGCTACACCGTCCATGATGCTGCTTCTATATTAAGAAGATACTTGAACTCATTGCCAGAGCCATTGATTCCTTTGGAATTGTATGAAATTTTCAGAGCTCCCTTAAGAAGTCGGGCTAGGATCATCAACTATATGAAATACAAGGCCAGTAACCCCAAGAAATTATTGAAATCAAAAATGTCACCAACCCTAGTTGAGGCAGCTGATACCCCAGTTGAAGCTTTCAAGCTTAATGAATTTAACTCCAATGTTACTTCTAATGTGACACAAACCCCCAAAACTGTTGACACGTCTAACTCTTTACCGTCTCCCTCATTATCCCCTGATAACTATCACGATGAAGTTATGGGTGGGTCAATACTGTTGGATAATCGAATGGATACCATAGAGCTGGTTGGAAAGCATGAAGTATTTGGCGATAATGATGAGGAAAACGACGCAGATAACGATGATGATGACAACGATCACAACAATGTCAACAGTGACAATGAGAATGTCAATTATGTTGATAATGATGGCCTTGTGAAACGGAATGAAGAAATGGTAAAGATGAAGCAATCCAAGAAAAATAAGCATTATAAAAAGTTAACTAAAGATGTTCATGATGCAATTGATGAATACAAAGTAATGCTTGATCAATTACCAATATTATCTAAGCAATTATTGTTTTATATTTTGGATCTCTTAGCCATGGTCCAAAATCATTCTAGTGAGAACTTGATGTCTTCAAGAAACTTGGCAGCTATCTTCCAACCCTCAATCTTGTCACATCCAAATCATGATTTGGATCCCACCGAATATGCTTTATCGCAGTTTGTTGTTGAGTTTTTGATCCAATATGCTTACAAGTTACTTCCGAATCACGATAACTTATCAAGGCCGATTCTGAAAAGTCCTGTTTCCACGACGTCAGTGAACAAATTAGAAGGTGACAAACATAAGTTGGCACCTAGATTTAACAGACAGCACTCGAAGTCTTTATCTTCTGCTAACCACGAAGACGTGGTTGGATATCAAAACAAGGTGAGCAACTCCAAATTACCTGTGGTGGATAAGGACTACGAAATAGCTGAAGATGATAGTGATCATGAAGAGAAGGAAAAATTTAAAGAGAGAGAGCCAAGTCTGCAGCCAGCAATTATTGTGTCTACTCCATCGAGTTCATCGGTTCCTAAAGTATAATGAGAATTTGTATTTTAATTTTGTTTATATAGCAGCTCCATGTAATAGTATTCTGGCATAATTTAGTCGCTGTCTTGCTCACTCACCCGCGATGAAAATTTTAAAATCTGACCTTGGTCAACTTAACGCTGAAGCTGTTCAAACGACAAACAACATCACTCATATTGCGGTAATGTCAGAAGAAGAGTTGAATAGTAAGCGTGGCTTGTCTAATGAGGAGGATAAAGAGGATGACTTAGGATTGGGCTTGGACTCTGATTCTGATACAAGTCTAAAATCTGGTCAAGACAATGATGGCTCCGATAACAATAGTGAGGATGAAAGCGAAGAAGAAAAAGAACTCAAAACGTTCGACTTGTCTGTTCCTAGGCATGCTATCACTTCCAAGCCTGAAGATGATGTGTACCATTTGAAGATGCCCTTGTTTGTTAACGTCGATGCACATCCATTCGACCCTGTCGATTTCAAAGAAAACATTGAATTAAATGCAAGAAACCGTGACATTAATATCAAGGATTCTAAGTTGAAAAAGAACGATTTGATTAGGGAAAAGTTGACCAATGAAAATACTATCAGATGGAAGTATTCTAATGAAAATGATGAAATTATTAAACAATCTAATTGTCATTTTGTTGAATGGGATGATGGCTCATTGTCTTTGAAGATTGGTAATGAAATGTTTGACTTCAAATCCTTACCATTGTATGATAATATATTGGTCAGGAGTCATGATGATTTGGAGATTTTACAGGCTAGCACTATCCTCACAAAGACTTCAAACTTACTACCTACTTCCACTGGAACTTCCACCCATAAGCAGTTAGCAAACGCCATCAAATTTTTACAACAGAAGGATAAAATTTTAAATACCATCACTGACTCCGACCCCTTGGAAGTTCAACGAAATGCTGATGAAAATGAGCGTAAAGCTTTGAAGATGAAGAGACAATTAGAGTTGAAAAGGAGATTACAAGAAGAGAGGTTAGGAAGAGCAAGTCCTTCTTTGGAAAAGGAATCATATGAAGAACCAAGTTACGAAAGGTTCAATAGAACGTATAATGATGAATATGATGATGAAGATGATTTCATTGATAACGATGAAGATGATGAAGAAATTGAAGAAAATGAGGAGGATGAATTAGATCAAGCTGCTGAAAGATTAAGACAAGTCAAAGAAGCTGGAAAATCAAAATACGAAAAGGCTGGTGAAGCTGAAGATGTAAGTGATGATAAAGAGGCGACAGCCGGGGACACTAATAATGAAGATCTGGAAGATGAGTTGAGGAGGAAAAGAAGAAGAATCATTGACTCTGACGAAGAGGAGTAGTTGATAAACACAAACAGTTCAGTTCTGCTTTCATTCTTTTGTATGTTAATAAACAAATTGTCTTCTTATAATTCATACAACTTAAATTACTTGCCACATGTAGTTTAGTTGGTTAATTCCAACTACCGATTCCTACAGAAAGGTTTTCTACAGTTGCAGGTAAAATAGAATATTGTTTTGGTCCATTTGATTTTCAATTACTAAATATGAATACTGTGGTTTTTGAGTTATCTTAGTGAAGGAAGCCTTAAAAACTGAATACACATCGACTATTTTCGTAAAATAGAACAAATTCTAAAGTTCAAACATTTTCACGAGCCTGGACAAAAAAGTCCGCTGGAGCGATCCCCGGATTTTCCCAATCGAAATCTCGTCCAAAAAAGCCAATATATTAACGCAAGGACTATTTACCCCTTAAACACTTGTACATGAGCTCCATTGTCAGCCCTTTGAGGTTGTTGTTATTAGGGGCTCCTGGTTCAGGCAAAGGTACCCAAACTTCCAAGCTTTTAAAGAGATTCCCATCCATTAACTCGTTATCATCTGGAGATGTATTAAGATCACAAATAGCTTTGAATTCGCCAATAGGACAAGAAGCATCAGGTTACATCAAGATGGGAAGGTTGGTTCCTGATTCCACAATGGTTCAGTTGATTACCTCTCAGTTGCAGCAGAAAAATTGGCTTCACTCTGATGCTACATGGCTTTTGGATGGATTTCCCAGAACTGCTCCCCAAGCACAAGCCTTAAATGTCATCTTGTCTGAGAGTAATGCAAATATAAATATGGTTGTTGAATTAGATGTGGATCAATCAGTGATTTTAGAGAGAATAGAGGCCAGATGGGTTCATTTGCCCAGTGGAAGAGTATACAGTTTGGATTACAATCCTCCGAAGGTTCCATTCAAAGACGACATTACTGGAGAATCGTTGTCAAAGAGGGATGATGATACTGCTGAAGTGTTTCAAAAGAGGTTAGATCAATATAATTCAGAAATAGAACCACTCAAACGTTTCTATGAGGCACAAGGTACACTACACAAAATTAGTGGGAACACTTCAGATATCATATTCCCAAAACTAGAGACCCTCATATTAGAGAATTTTGGTAAATAGAGAGCATATTCAAGAGGAGATTAGTGTAAAATACTGTATTTTTCTTATATCTCCACTCATAAGTAAAGTAAGAGAGTTTCGCATCTCTAAAATTTTGTTAACTTACACCACTAAAATGAAGTTCTACATTGACGATCTTCCGGTGCTTTTCCCTTACCCAAAGATATATCCAGAACAGTATGCATATATGTGTGATATCAAGAAGACTCTAGATGTGGGAGGAAATTGTATTTTGGAAATGCCTTCGGGTACAGGTAAAACTGTGTCTTTGCTTTCCCTTACAGTCGCCTATCAAATGCATTATCCAGAACATAGGAAAGTCGTTTACTGTTCTCGTACAATGTCTGAGATTGAAAAAGCATTGATCGAGTTGTATAATTTGATGGAATACAGAGCCAATGAATTGGGCTTTGTGGAAGACTTTAGGGGATTGGGTTTGACAAGTAGAAAGAATTTATGTCTACATCCAACAATTTCTAAGGAGCGAAAAGGGGCTGTGGTTGATGAAAAGTGCAGGAGAATCACTAATGGTCAGTTGAAGCATCGTATTGAAGAAGGTGCTATCGATGAGGAAGCCCAAAGATCGAATCCTGAAGTTAATTCATTATGCAAATTCCATGAAAACCTTTACGATTACGAACAACATGATTTGATTCCTCCAGGCGTGTATTCTTTTGAGTCTTTGATGGATTTCGGCAGAGAGAAATCCACATGTCCATATTTCACTGTCAGAAGAATGATACCTTTCTGCAATATTATTATTTATTCCTATCATTATTTATTAGACCCTAAGATTGCAGAAAGGGTTTCTAAAGAATTGAGCAAAGATAGTATCATTATATTTGACGAGGCACACAATATTGATAACGTGTGTATAGAGTCCTTGTCTTTAGACTTGACAGATGATACTCTCAAAAGAGCCACTCGAGGTGCCAACAAATTGAGCGATGCAATTGAAGACATGAAAGCCCAAGACAGCGAAAAGCTTCAGAACGAATATGAGAAATTGGTAGAAGGTTTGCGACAAGCTGAAATAGCCCGTGATGAAGAGCTATTTATGGCCAATCCAACTCTACCTCAGGATTTATTGGACGAAGCTATACCCGGGAATATAAGAAAAGGAGAACACTTCGTGTCTTTTTTGAAGAGATTCATCGAATACTTGAAAACCAGAATGAAAGTTCTTCATGTTATAAGTGAAACACCGAATAGTTTTCTCCAGCATTTGAAGGAACTAACATTCATAGACCGAAAACCGTTGAGATTTTGCAGTGAACGGTTATCTTTATTGGTGAGGACATTAGAATTGAATGATATTGAAGATTTTACTGCTTTAAAAGACATTGCAACATTTGCAACCTTGGTTTCTACTTATGATAAAGGGTTCCAGTTGATATTAGAGCCGTTTGAAACTGAAGGGGCTACAGTCCCAAATCCTATTTTGAGGTTCACTTGTCTCGATGCATCTATTGCAATGAAACCTGTGTTCGATAGATTTTCATCAGTTATCATCACATCAGGGACAATTTCTCCTTTGGATATGTACCCAAAAATGTTAAACTTTGAAACTGTTATTCAAAGATCCTATACCATGACCTTAGACAGAAGATCGTTCTTACCAATGATAGTGACAAAAGGGTCTGATCAAGTTTCCATTTCCTCCCGGTTTGAAATTCGTAATGATCCATCGGTTGTGAGGAACTATGGATCCCTTTTGATTGAGTTTTCGAAAATCACCCCAGATGGAATGGTTGTATTTTTCCCTTCGTATCTTTACATGGAATCTATCATTTCAATGTGGCAAACTATGGGTGTTCTAGATGAAGTGTGGAAATACAAATTGATCCTAGTAGAAACCCCAGATGCCCAGGAAACGTCATTGGCATTGGACACCTATAGAAAAGCATGTAACAGTGGAAGAGGAGCGGTTTTACTATCAGTGGCCCGTGGTAAAGTCAGTGAAGGCATTGATTTTGACCATCACTATGGAAGAACAGTCTTGATGATTGGGATTCCTTTCCAATATACCGAATCAAGAATCTTAAAGGCAAGGCTCGAGTTCTTGCGAGAAAATAACCAAATCAGAGAGAATGACTTTTTGTCTTTCGATGCTATGCGTCATGCTGCTCAGTGTTTGGGTAGAGTTTTGAGAGGGAAAGATGATTATGGTATCATGGTTTTAGCAGATAGAAGATTTGCTAGGAAGAGAAGCCAACTACCAAAATGGATTGCACAGGCATTGAATGATTCCGACTTGAACTTGTCAACAGATATGGCATTAGCAAATGCTAAGAAATTCTTAAGAACTTTAGCACAACCCACAAATCCAAAGGATCAAGAAGGCGTCAGTGTGTGGGACCTCCAACAATTGCAAAAGCATCAACAAGAACAGATAAAACAACTCAATGAACATTCAGGAAACACGGGTGTTTCTGAAGATGGAGTGGTGAGTGCTCCTGAGGATGTGGATTTCATGGACATGGACGATGAAGAATTAAATATGTTGTAACTCGCTGTCTATTGGCGTGTCGAATAACATCCATCTCAGGGTCATAGCTTGAATTATGCTCGAGGAGCGAAGTAAATATATATTATTAACTGTTAATGGATATGCGGTGAAAGTACATCTTGAGCAATGGCTCCGCAGTGCCATAATTAGTCAATGTCCTAGCATGGACATGTGATGTGCTAACACTTTCGCACTACAAACATTAACTATTTTTAAAAATATATAGATTTGCTTCTCGGAGATAAATTGAATGTCTAATGAACCCAACTATTTGATATTTGACATTGGCTCTCGTTTTATAAGAGCGGGGAAAGCTGGTATTGAGTTACCATTGGTAACTGTAAGGAACAGTGGCTATAGTCCGGCGGAGAATTTCCCCTGGTTTCTACACTTGAATGACCATTCTTTGGATTCGAATCAGACTAATTGTATTATAAGACAAATACATGATCCAATTAAAAGGTTGATTCAGGTATATCGGCAAGACCTGAGTCTTTGGATGCATACAGTTGATGAGATATGTTTACATGAGAATCTTCTCACAATTTTTCAGCATTTTCCATTAATGCTATCAAGCTGCAAAATCATTATACTGAACAGCAAATTTTCCCAACTTGAAAGGTTTTACATATGCAAAATAATGTTGACGAGGTTTGGAGTTAAGTCTGTACAGTTTATACCTAGTCCAATTTTGTCGCTAATTTCGGCAAACTCTTGTGATGGACTTGTGGTGGAGTTTAATTGGTCTTCTTTTAGAGTATGCTCTTTAGCTGACTATAGAATAATCTCGGAGGTTGAAAATAAAGGTGGACTCACAGGTGAAAATCTACACTACTGTATCGCTGAATATCTCATTGAGTTGGATCATGAGATTATCACAGATACAAGCTTCTTTGAACTTGTGGAACAATTTATTGTTGACTATGTTTGCATTGGTCAGATTGAGGAGGAGCTTGTCCAACTTGAAGGATACTCTATTCCTGGGTCCGTCAGAACACGGATTGTTTCTCAGCTTCTTCTAACTGTGCTTGGTGTTATAGAAAGAGTCATCTTTCAAGCCCTGGTTGATAATCGGCCAACCTTGTTGAACAACATTGTCTTCGAAGGTGCGCTCAGTAACATACCAGGGTTGAAATCCCACGTCTTGAATACCTTAAGACAGAATGCTTCTATTTCCAGCGAAGTTCGGGGAATCAAATCCCTTGGTTCTTGGCAAGGTGCTTCTATATATTGTTCCACATCGATTCTACAGCGACCTAGGAGTACAAGAAAACTCCAGGAGATTACTAAAGACATGATTCAGGAAGCTTCAGTGCCACAAAATGGAGGCATATTACTTGATAAATTACCAGATTCCACAAACTACTACAAACATATTCTATAATAACTTCATTCAATGGAAGCAAGATTCTACTTGGTGAACAAGTTCTCGAAATCTTCAAGATCTGAAATAGGATTTTCAATTAATGATCGCTGGAAATACTTCGCCCAAGGGTATTTGTTGAAATACCGCTCAAAAGCTGCTTCTTCTTCTTCTTTGAACCAAGAGCGAACTTTATACCACCATGATTCTTCTTCGATTCTGCTTCTGTCTGAGCTTTGGCTTCTATGGTCATTTTCAGTTTCGGCTTCCATTGAGGCGACAATCTCTTCATTAAGAATGTTTAGCAATGCATTCTCATCATTTAACTCTTCTGGATCGTAATCAATAACATTGCATAAAGGGCCAAAAACTTTCATGCTTTTAGCATTGTGATTAATAGCAGACAAATCCAACATAGCATTGTATGGTAAAAGTGGCTTTGTGGTGGGTTCAATGATGACCTCAACTGGAGAATTCATATCAGGTATTAACCCATTGGTGAGTATGGGAAACATTGTGGGCTTGTCTTCCGTGCCAATACTGTCAAAACACTCTTGAACCGGAGAAGTTTCATAAAATATATCATCTTCATCAGTAGTCAAAATCCTCGCTGTGGTACTACCCTTTGTTCCAAGGATCACATCACATACTTCTTCTTTGTGCAACTTGATTTTTCCCCTGTCACTATAAAGTGTAGAGTTTCCTATGCTGCCTGAAGTGATACCTCGAAAATACTTGGATTTATTTAACTCAATAGCTTCTTTAGTAGAGACCAGAGCTGCCACGTTTTCAAAGTGGCCATTCCGGTTGCGAAAGAATCTAAGTGATCCAGGTGGACCTTGAACCATTTTGGCAAAGTCTGCACTTGAATAAGATGGCAATTCGTGTTCATTTTCGGCGTTCACCATGATCAGACTTTAATATTGAGTTTGTGGATTATTCGCAACTAAATTTTGCTAGACGTAAATCCACCAAGAAAAGAAAGCAAGTTGTGCTAATTTATTATGAGAAGCATTCAATGAATTGCACTAGTAATCTTCATTGATCTGTAGTCATTAATCGTCTATTCGTGAACTTACTATGGATTCACTTATTCGTTTTCATCAAAGTTCCCACATACTCTTGTAAATATTGGTTATCATTCTCAGATTTTTCACAAAGCATCTTTATATCCCTCACATTACCTACTAGATGTGATATGGACGCTTTGAGTTGAAGTATTTCTTGTATCATTTCATCTTTTGACAGTTGATGATTCTTCGAAGAATCCTTCTGAGAATCTGCCTGAAAATCGGTATTCAAGGGTCCAAATTCCGTCTTCAGATTAGAATTATTAGCATGATTCGTTTCTATGGATTTAGCTGCAACTACCTTCTCGTTTAAATGGGCTTCATTAGCTAAACTCAAGGGATTGGCTTCTGTCATAGTATATTTTAGTCTTCAAAATAGTCACGAAAAACGCGCGAACTAGTCAGTGCAAACTCTGAATAACCTATCAACACACAAGCTCCGGTGGGACCCGATTCCAATTGTGAAAGTAATTTAACATTTAGCACCAACCATGTCGTGGTCAGGGTTTAAGAAAGCCGTGAATAGGGCCGGTATGTCAGTGACTGTCAAGAGTGTGGATAAAACCATTGATAAAGATTTTGATGTAGAAGAAAGAAGGTACAAGACTTTGAAGACTGCTGGTCAAAATTTACAAAAAGCAAGTAAGGGATACTTGGATTCATTGAGAGCCGTCACTGCAGCACAAGTTAATATTGCTGAAATTGTCAACAACTTGTATGAAGAAAGCAAACAAGGAGCCTCTAGCCAGTACGCTAGTGTGGGAACATATTACCTTCAATGTGTCAGGGAATTTGATGAAGAGACAGTTAAACAAGTTGATGGTCCATTCAGAGAGACTATCTTGGATCCCATAACCAAATTTGCCAATTACTTCAATGAGATTGACGAAGCTATCAAGAAGAGATCTCATAAAAAAGTTGACTATGATCAGTGCAAATCCAAGGTTAGAAGATTAATTGACAAACCCGCTAAGGATGCTGCTAAACTCCCAAGAGCTGAAAAGGAATTAGCCATGGCTAAAGATATTTTTGATGATTTAAATGAACAGTTAAAACAAGAATTACCTCAACTTATAAGTCTTAGAGTTCCTTTTTATGATCCTTCATTTGAGAGTTTGGTCAAAATCCAGTTGAAATTTTGTACCGAAGGATATTCTAGAATTGCACAAATCCAGCAGTACTTAGACGAACAGTCACGTGATGAGTATTCTAACGGTTTGTTGGATGGCAAAATTGATGATTTATTAAATCAAATGAACAGCTTGAATATAACTTCTTTAGGGCAAAAGTAATCTAGTTCATTTTATAATTTTGTAGTGTATGGCAAATAGATAATCAAAAATGTATGTTTTTCCCGCTGTCTGAGACACCAAGGAGATTGGGTCGCATGTAGAGCGGATGTGTACCACCAAAATTTTAACTCACTCTAGTCTAGATTATGCTCGAACAATCTAATGAGGAAATCTTTTTGTTATATTCCTTCACCTTCGTAATTTTTTTAACTTCTTCCAAAGACCCTTGTTGATTCAAACATATTTAACTCAATCATAGGTATCGTGGGTTGCTCACTAGGAGAAAGATACATCAAGTAGTTGTCGTTTAGCATGGTGTCCATGAATCCGAGGGAAAATATTGTGAACCAACACTTAACCAAAGTGATTAAACTTTTGATAAAGTACCCTAAAATATTGGTATTAGTGCCTATATTTTTGGTCTTTACATTTGGTTACAGTGTTGTATACCACTTTACTATCCTTCAGGTGAATACGTGGCTACGAAATGAATATTTTTCACATTCCCTGGTCAAAAACTCCCCTACCAACATTATGGGTTATAATCATACTGTGGAATTCAATTACAATTACAAGCACATAGAAGGACTTATAGCCTCAGATTTGTCAGGGTCGTATCTCACAAAGGTGACTTTCCATAACGATAATGCCCTCACTTACGATTTTCTTCATGAGGTGAACAACAAAATAATCAATCTCATTGAATCGAGCTCTGGTTCCGTTACCATTTTATCTCCAATATTGGATTGGAAGCTTGATATTTCATCTAGATTTTCCAATGATTACCTTGTTACAAAAGTCAACTACAATTCCAACTATCACTTAAATTTAGTTTATCTCGATGGGATCGAGTTTGTTAACTATATGATAATAGGAGCGGACACCTTAAACGTGTATTTGATTCACGATTCCAGGTTGATAATTGATCTGCAGTGGGTACAGTATTCAATAGACAATCCAGTCAGGATTAAAGATTTTTTGAAGTATTATCTCCTTATAAATGGATATGGATATGGAGTTTATTTCACTTTGGGGTTGAGATTTTGGATCATTGTTTTCACCATATATTTCTTGACATATTTATACTTATCCATATCCAATTTGCACAAAATTAAATCCAACTTTGGGATCTTGTGTGGCTGGTTCATGGAAGTAAATGTGAGTGTAACTGCTGCTGTTCAGTTGGTAAAGATCTTTAATGGGTGTGATTTTTGGGAAGATTTATTCCAATCTCCTAGTTTTGTTACAATTGCGTCCGCCTTATTTATTGTGGTTTTTATTAGTTCTCGAAACTTGATAAGGCTTATCATTGACTTGTCGAGTTGTGACGACTATTGTAATATGGACTCAAGGTATTTACAAACGAGATTATACAAATTTTTCATTGGGCTTGAAAATAACACAGAAGCTAGTTACCAAAAACTTGACATGTTGAACAGCTTGCTTCGAAACCTCCATCTTGAATCAAAATTCAATTTGATTTTGCCAAGAATTACCAAGATTTTATCACTTGACATACTCACCTTGAAAGCAGTTGAATATCTGAGCTTGCTCTTTATGAGGTACTATTTTGGTGGTGCATTCTTGGACTCTTTAAATTCAAAGATTGGTGCATTATTTGCCGTTATATTCTGGTCCTTGATCATTGACCACATTCTTCAACTAACCTATTTAATAGGACTAATTATAGTTGATAATTACAGAACAGATATAACGAAAATTCTTGACAATGGACAATCAAACACCGAATTGAATTCGTTCAGTTCGCTTCTTCTCAAGGGCAAGCCTCCCAGAAACTCAATTCTTTACAAACTTGGTACCACTTTAACTTTTGTACGGTATCCAACCACTCTCAAATCATGGTTGATGGTACTTCCACCTTTGGAGGTTTGGAATTTATTTATGGTATTGACGTACTGGGCTCTTTATATTCCTTACAGTTTGTTCCATGATTCTAACATTTTAAGTCAGAAGAGTACAAGACGTTTGAGTTTTGACATATTCTACTTTTTGGAATACTGTGCATTCACAGTGTTATTGATGTCCGTTTCTGTTATAGTATTCAGATTGTCTACTTTTAAAATTGTGGGAACAGATTCGAAGATTGAATTGAATGATAACAAGTCCTTCAAGTCTATCGATCTTCCCGAAACCCATTACTTGGATGTCATTAAACTCAAGTCAAATAATTCATCTTTCTTGATATCCATTGGCTTAGATCATAAAGTGTTTGTTTGGTCTCCTTTAAGCTTATCCAAGCCGATTGATATCTGCTCCACTATAGGTTTGGATGATAAGGAGCTTGAATTCTGGCCAATAAACTATGCCAATATAAGTACCGGAGGGGAATTCATCATTTTAATGAACTTCAAGTATAAGCTTATCAGGTGTTACTCCAGATCTCTATTAAAGTTCCATTGGACATCGTCTCTCGAGATCGATTTCACAAAAGACAAAATTCTCGAATCATTCTTTAGGGAAAGAACTGCCCCGGCGTTTCTTCAACTCAAAAAGATGAAAAAGCCCAGGAGAGATAGTATAATATCTATGAATGGTAACTATCCCAGATTGGAAAAATCTTCTGTTCAATATGATTTTGTGATGGTTCTTGAATCAGGGAGTATTTTAACGGCCTCCTGTGAAAGTGGAACTATTAAGGTAACCTCAGATATATTGGATTCGTTGTATGACACAGAAGACATTCCAGTCAAATTGAAATTGGCTAAAAAGATCATAACACCTAGAGTAAATGACAGAATTGTACATCAACTAACAAATGGAGATTTAGTTGTCTCAGTGGCCGTTAACAACAAGTGGAAATTTTTGAAACTTGACACATCAGACAACAAATACAACAAACAGGTGGTTTCAATGGACACACCTATGTCCAGGAACTCTTCTTCTATTGGACCTATGGCTTACAATAATTACAACTTTGAGAGTATAAACGTTAATAACAAAGCTTCAGCACCTGAAGCTCTAAAAGATTCCTTCAACTCATTGGTGGAGATTAATAAGACCATTATTGTAACTTTGGACTTTGTTGGTATGATAATCAGAGTAAACAACTTAGTTGCAGAACTCATTGATGTTCAGACAGGTATCATTCTTCATAAGATTAACGTTGCCCACTTTAAACCTCTGAGCTTCAAAGTATCACACCTGGAACCGACACATTGCAGATTTTGTGGGTGCGCATCTATACTGTCATTAACAGTTGTTTATGAAGATTTCAGTTCCGATACTTTGATAATTCATACGTTTAAAGTCGCCAATAGATCAAAAACAAACATATGTTTAAGAGTGGAAAGAGACCCCAGGGAAATTAGATGTGCTGGGTTCGATGATGTCTACGAAGAACAATATTGGTACGAAGAGATTGGTGCTTGGCAGTTAACAGACATAAACATGGTCATTGGTGTCAAAAATAGTAGTGAAAAGAGTGTACTGTATCAAGATGGTAACGATGACATTTTTGAGAGTGGATACCTTAAGAAAGTTGATATGCGGGGGGGTAGCAAACTCAGAAGCTTGAAGCTGAAAATCAAGACCCCTAAGGAGAATGAAGTGCAAACAAATAATTGGACTGGGTTCATCATCACGTTAGGTGACGGAAAGATGGTTGAATATGAGATTCCAAGGTTAAGCAAAGGGTTGGTCTGCAACAATATTGGTTGCATTGAAAAATTTGGTTACAAATCCGTCGCTGTGAGCTTTGGCAATTTGATCAAAATTCTATACTTGGGAAACGACAAGCTTGTTGAGGAAAACCTTTACTTTAATGATTTGAATAAGAGCAAGGCTATCAACAACGAATTGTTATTCATTAACAAAAGACGAAAGAGGTGATAACTGTTTGTAATTATTGATGTGTACTGTACTAATATAACCAATTTATTATAATGACTGGTATTTGATCTTGGGTAATGCTATGGTCTACATTATTTCAAACAGAAAATGATTTCACCCAGGATAGCTCTGGACACTTTTTTAAACACATAATAGCCCGTATTCAATATTGTTTGATGGTTTACGATAAAATCTAGTGCTGTGAAAGAAACTCTCTATGTTCATCAAAGTTTTTCGAGCTCAAAAGAGGCTTTAATTGAACGAAATGGAAGATAGAAAAGACTCAAATGGCTGAAACGAATTGAAGCCTTGTATATAACTCATTCCTCTGAATATAAACTAGGCTCATTGGTTTTGCACCTTGCATTTCCTGGCATCTTTTCATTGGACTGGGGCCTTTAGAATGTTCCTGTCCATCTGCAACGTTTCCCCTCTTATTGGACAAGAATGGACTACATAACCGAATTTCAAGACAATGATTAACCTGGTGAATCATTAATATATCCAATCAATGTTTGCCCTTCATCAATGTAAAACAAGTGAAATGCTTTTTTTTCTGGATAATGTTAAAAATATCATCTGGTCTCCACAAAAACTTCATATGATTGCGACTTCATTTTATTGACGAAACTCGATACTGAAATCTTTGGAGCTTAATAATGAGTGAAACTGACATAATTTACGCCCCATTTCAACCGTCAGACACCCGTTTGCTAACAGGAAGCAATAACAACCAACTTCTAGTTGACAATCCAATTCTATCGTCAATTTTAGCCAAAATATTTCCTTACTTGTTGATAGCTGATAATGCATTGGAGATAATAACATGGACTAATGAAGACCCTTATACCAACTTTTTATTCATCATTATCTACTCTATTGTCATCATGTATTGGAATAGTATAAGTTTGGTTATTCTTCCTATAATCATGGCTCTTGTGTTTTCATATATGATTTGGATAGTGAACTCCACCATTTTTGATATAAAATATAATGAAAAGCCGACAATTGACGAGATCTTACACACTTTGCATAATATTACAGTCAGATTCGAAATGCTTCTAAAGCCCATTAAAAAGCTGGACTTTAAAGCTCATAATTTTATTCAAATGTTTGTCATGACTGTGTTGTTGACACCAGTTCATCTACTCCTCATTAACTACGCCTTATCCCCCAAAAAGTTTTTATGGCTAACTGGTCTTTTTGTGTTAAGTTACCACTCCCCGTGGTCGTATTCTTTAAGAAGGTTGCTATGGAGATCTGTCTATGTGAGAATTCTAGTATTTTATCTAACTGGTTTAGATATAAAGCTAAACATGGAAAGTAAGTCCAAGCCTATCAATTCGAAGTCAATGGAACATGCTTTGAGTGACTTGAAAGTTTTGAACAAGTCTGTTGAGTCTCCTACCAGACTCAAACAAACAATCCTATTTGAAGTCTTGGAGAACGAAAGAAGATGGATTGGAATCGGGTGGTCTAAGCTTCTTTTACCAAGTGAAAGGTCAAATTATTGCTTCCCACATACGTTGATCCAAACAGTAGAATTACTGCAGTTTTCACCTCCAGTTTTCAATGACGACTTGTACAGCTATAGTTGGGAATGGCTTGATCAAAAGTGGTCCATAGATAAAGAGTTTAGTAAGAACAAGAACAACGGCTGGAAGTTTTTTGATAATTCCTGGGAAAATGGTGATTTCATCGATGGATTCTCAAAGTTCACTAGGTCAAGAATGTGGACGAGGAGAGCCGTGTTATGTATTGACAAAAGGACCAAAGTAAATGACAAGTAAGATATTTAGCCTGTATAGCATATTTATGAACGATAAATCAAAATGTGTGTTATTACCGATTCTTATCTCATCGCGAATATTCAAAGTATTTTTTGGTAAAGACTGTGAAGTTGACTATACCAATGAAGGACCCAAGTAAAGGTTCCAGAGTGAACGGAAAGAGTTGGAAAGACGAAAAGGGTGCTTTTAGAGTGAAAAGTCTTGGAGTGACTAAGCAGACTGCATTCACAAAGAGAAATGCTAAAAGACTTCAAGAGGATCAGTATAAGACAAGATTAAAGGATCTTAAACAGGAAAAAGAAGATGCTCAGAAAGCTAGGATAACGGAATTGAAGAGAAGAAGAGAGTTACAAGCTGAAAAGGAAAGATATGAAATGATGGCAACAAAAATGCATAAAAGAAAAGTAGAAAGATTGAAGAGAAAAGAGAAGAGGAACAAGTTGTTAAAAGAACGTTAATTAAACTTCAAACAAAACTATGTAATTTCATTGCTAGTATGAATATATTCTTCAACGATTAAGATTCCCAAGTTATACTAAACACCATGACCTGAAGAAGAAACTTCTTTGATTGCCAGCATATTGTGGTGGGCTTCGGGTTACAAACTACACTCCAATTATTATCTCTTATTTTGTACTAGCAATGGTATACAGATCTACAGAACCCTCTCTCATTCTCTTGAATCACAAAGAAAACTACTTCGCTTCTCTTCTATACACTGTAATTACATTGAAAAAAATGGGTACTCCCGAAAATCGATCTTGCAAAACTCATCACACAAGATTTGTCCACTGATATAGCTTAAAAATGTTCCCATTGTATGTAATAGACGAATCAAGTGTCAATATGACGGAAATTACACTTAGTTTTCTGCAGTTGCAACGTTGAGCTTCTACCTGCTTTATCGCTACTAGTGTACATAGAATTGTTTAGACTGTGTTCCAGGCTCCTGTAGTATCAAGTGACATAATTATTGTATACTGAATGCCTATAGCACCAGGCTATTTGGGGTTGCGATTAAAAAGGGATAGAGTTGACTGTTCAGAAGATAACAATTTAGAATTAGTACATAACAAAAAGTTGATTTTTATCGCAAACCAAATATTTCATCAAATTACCCGGACAAATAATGTTAGTATAAAAGGAAGCAGATTCCCCCTCGAAATTTTGTTTTCTGGAAAAAGGCACCTTCCTAAACGGGTAATAAGATTTGTACAAATCCTATTCAATCTATCTTAAAATCTTAGGATTTTTGTGTAACTACTAGAATAAATAGATAGTTCGTCACCCATTAACATCCTAGTGTATTCATTAACTTACGTACACAGTTGCATCTGGGATACATTAACTTGTTATCTCAACTACTATACTTCTTAAAGTCAGACATATCTTAACATGGATTCATTAAAGCTTCCTGTCACACCCGCTAAAGCCAAAGCATTCACAGGACCCGATTCCTTGTCGTATCCCCTGGGTATAAGTGGGCAACAACAAACCGGACTCACCAAGAAGGAAGAAACAGATGGAATAATAGAACCTAAAACTGAAAGTGAAGATGGTTCAGCCTTGGGTATAGTACCAACGTTACAGAATATAGTTGCTACTGTCAACTTGGATTGCAAATTGGACTTGAAGACAATTGCATTGCATGCAAGAAATGCAGAATACAATCCAAAGCGTTTTGCTGCTGTCATTATGAGAATTAGAGAGCCAAAAACGACGGCATTAATTTTTGCTTCTGGTAAAATGGTCGTCACTGGTGCTAAATCTGAAAACGACTCAAAATTGGCTTCAAGGAAGTATGCTAGAATCATCCAAAAGTTGGGTTTCAATGCTAAGTTTACTGACTTCAAGATTCAAAATATAGTTGGTTCTTGTGACGTCAAATTCCCCATTAGATTAGAAGGTTTAGCATTCAGCCATGGTACCTTCTCGTCTTATGAACCGGAATTGTTCCCTGGTTTGATTTACCGGATGGTTAAGCCTAAGATTGTTTTGTTGATTTTCGTCTCAGGAAAAATTGTGTTAACTGGAGCTAAGCAAAGAGAAGAAATTTATGCTGCTTTCGAAGCCATTTATCCTGTTTTGAGTGAATTCAGAAAATCTTGAACAACCAGGGACTTGTATAATTATATTATGTACTTATAGCATCGAGATAAAAAGTGTGGGTTATGAAATAATAATGTAGGTGTTTTTCATTTCAGACTGTTCAACCACTTGAAATACGTACATCTGCCTTCTTCTTGGATACCAACAGCGTTCCTGGGACAACACCAGAATTTCCTACCTTTTGTTTTAGGATTGGTCAAACTAGTTTTCAATTGACATGTCTGGTCATGATGACACTTTGGAGGGTCTCCAAAAACAGTCGCTAAATTCAAGGTTGCTCTCCGTTGTGAACTCATTTGTAGTATTGCGTTTACATTGGACAGCGAGTCTATTATATTTTTCTCATTGAGTTCTTGATTTGCTCTCGCTGTACCGAAATAAGTCTGTATAGACCTTTGTTCTGGTTTTCTTTCAGTTTTCCGACTTTGGTAAGTGATCTTTGTGGCTTTTGAATCACCGACTTCATTTTCCTTTGTGTCCTCAATTTCATGAGCCTTCCTCTTGTTCACTGCTTTGAACATAGATGATATATCATGATGTTTGATAATCTTATAGAATGCCTTAGCTTCAAAGCTCAACTTGGCCTGCCTCATTTTCTTAAGGTTAACATTGTCATCTAATAGAAAATCAGTGAATATAGGGCAATGGTCAGAACCCATCAAGAAGGGCCAGTGGGAAGATTTTGATATTCTGTTCTTCCAAGCCTCCGTTGTCAAAATGAGATCAATCCGCGATCCAAAATTAGTCTGCCTTGATCCATTAAGGGTGTTCCAGCAAGTATAAATTTCCATGGTTCGTCCTCGAAATACTCTCGTAGTGTCATAAAGAAATCGCTCTGATCCTGTTATTTCGGGAACATTCAAAGGACTGAAAACAAACTTGCTCAAATGCATTCTAGAGAACCTCTCTCTCTTGAACTTAACACATTCCTTATGGTTAGTCTTTTCAAAAGCTTCTCCATCGTTGGAATATTTTATCAACTTTTTGTTTAATCTCTCATTAATCCCATCTGCCTGATCTATGAGGTCCAAACTGATATTTATATCGCCTAACACCATTATCTGCTTTCCAAGTTTAATCAAGTTCTGACAGCGCTTGATCAAGAGTTCCATGAATTTGTTTTTCAACCTTTCCCCTTCTTCAGTTTGCATAGAATTCGCCGGACAATAAAGCGAAAATATAACCAAACCACTGGCTAGTTCAACCACGACTGCCCTCCCTTCTCTATCTATTTGTAATGCGAGCTCCTCATCGAACTCTTCATAATTCTCGTTCGTCACATACCCCCCAATTGCTTCGTTGTCGTCTAAGTCCAAAAACTTTGTATGATGTCCGGTATCATTGTTTATTCTCAAATATCCTGTAATTCCTTCTTCCGCCTTAACTACATTCAAATTGTATTTTACTTTGTCATCTTCGCTCTCTTCTGGGATTCGTACAAATAAACCCACGCCGCTATACCCCTTTTTCAACTTTGGCAACGAAATAAACGATTTGTATTTCCGCAAATTGCAAAGATTGGTTGATGATAAATTTCCACTGCTGAGTTTCAACTCTTGCAAAGAAATGATATCTCCCTTCAAAGACTGAAAAATTTTGTCAAAGTTATTATTAAGCTTGTTCCAAGGAAAGTAATTACCCAAAGTCTTGACCCCATTTATATTGAACAGAACGAATCTAATGCTTTCTTCTTGTTTATCATCCAATCGATCTAGGGGGTATATTTCCTTTGTGTGACTTGTGCCAGAAGACATCATAGGAGTTCTTGATGCTTAATAATTCATAAATTTTCAAATTTAGCCTTGATTGTAGGGAAAAATTGGTCCCCACCACTTGAAGTCCTTGACGTGTGGGATTAATTATTCTTAGCCTCTGTAATATAATATGAATACGGTGCTTATTGTAGAAATCTAGAACAAGAACTGGTACACTCAGCAAACGCGCTTATTTACGCGCGCGTTCCTCCTTGTAGGGCCGACATAACAAAAAAAAATAATTTAAATTACTTGTAAGCTATCCTTTTCCATCCTTACCTAGAAGTGCTGTGGTAAACTTTCCTTATCAGTTTTACAGATTTCGTTTTCATCTTTTGTTTAAAGACACTTTCAATTATTGCTATCTTTTGGTTTTCTTTAGTACTTGAATTTCAAAATGATTGACTCTGAGGCGATAATGAAAAGTGCACCTTTTCAGGGTGATTCAAGCTACAATCTTTCAAACACTACACCAGAGTTATTGAAATTCCAACTCCAGGAAGAGCACAAGTCAAAGCTTGCACAACTTGAAAATGATGACTCTACTCACCAATATACCTACAACGAAGACTATATTAATTCTTCTTTCAACAATCACTTGCAAACGAAATTAGATGAGGGTGACATTTTGATTGAAGAGATTCCCAGTTTAGTATCCACTCCTGGAAGTGACTCGGATGCTTCAGAAGCTCTGATTGACTCAAGTAGGAAATTAAATTATCTCAACTTGAAGGTTTTAATTGAAAACTCCGTCTTTGAAATCAATAAACTTGGTACAAAGCTGTTGATATCTTTGAACTCAGTTAAGAAGCTCAAACAGGTTTTGGAAGAGAAGACAGAGTTGAAAAAGTTCTACTTGTCTAAATTAGCAGTATCCCAACAGTTCATTGCAAATGTGGTTGACGAGGATGTTGATTCTTCCATTTTATTTAAGATTGTCAAGACCAACAATTTGCTAAACACAAAGCTAATTGAATTAAGTGAAGAAATTGGGGAATTATCTTTGAGATTGAGCAATCATAATTTATCTTGTCTCTTGTTGGGTTATATTGAAGATATCAAAATATCCAACAACATGAACTTAAATTCTGGGAATACAAGTGCAAACTACAAATTAATTTTTGATAAACTTATAGGCTACGTTGCATCCCTCTCTGTTCAGAAGAATATTAATCTTCCTCCCCCGAATGATGAGAATGATTCTGCCGAAGAAAAGTTCAACTGGCTAAAGAAATGTGTGGATACATTGATTTCTTCACCAGTTTCCTCTACTCAATTTGGACATTCATTGACCAATTTGACGGTCCCTACTGCATCTTCCTCAAGAGAAAATAGTCCCAGAGCTTTTGGTAACGATGTAACAGATATGAACAACACATCTATCTTGAACGAGTCTTCAATATTTTCCATCAACCCGTCGAATACTCCTGATCAAAAGATACTTAGCGATTACAAAACTGCTTTAAATGACTTGAGGTTCAGTCATCAGTACTTGATAAAAGAATTCGAGTATTCAAGAGAAAACTCGTTGAAGATTATTCAAGACTACCGTAAAAGAGTTTCTGCCTTGGAAAAAGAACTTCAAACGCAAAAGGGACATGATTCCCCAACTTCCACTGATGATAATAGTTTCTCTATTGCCGTGGCCAAGGACCAAGAAATTGCCAAATTAAAAAAACAATTGAATCTTTTGAAAATAGACAAATTGGGTGCACAAAATGAAGATGGTGAAGACGATGAGAGAATCAAGAGCATGAGCAATGGTATTTTGCGAAAGGAATTCAAAAAGATGGTAAATGACATTCAGGATCAATATGAAATAGAGTTGAACCAAGAAAGGATATTGAGACAGAACCTTCAAAACGAGTTATCTCAGTTAAAGAACTGATTAAGGACATTATTGTATACTGTGTACTTTTTTTGTATATTAGACATGTTTGTGTTTCTCAAGTTGGTTATGGTGTTTAAATAAACTGAAAGTGAGATACAGACGCTCTCAGATGGATGCATTTGCTTTAATTGAAATGCTACTTTCGAAAATTGATTCAACTCCCAACTACACAATTGATAGGCCAAAAAGTTGACCTATGCTTGTAATTTATCAAGATATTCACGAACAAGCATCAAAAATAAGAAAATCTCTAACAATTTCTGATTATTCCTAGTGCGTTCTTTTGACCGAGTTGCTCATCTATAATGTTATTCTACAAATACGCGCTGCAATTAAATTCTGTGTTTAGTAATGAAACTGAAATATGAAAAATCCTCTTACATGCTTTTCAGCAAAGAGGATCCTGGGGTAATGCGATTGCTTATGATGTCTGATAAGTTCTATAAAACTTCCAAAAGTATTATACTGGATACGAATACCTTAGAAGGCACCCAGAAATATTTTAAACTTATAAGGTTGAGCATGAAATGCCTACGAATCATGCTAATTCGGTATGAACACAAGTTGCATCCACAACTAAAATGTCACATATTTCACAGGTTAGCTACATTGTACTTTCAGGAGACTCAAGATTATGAAAGAGCAGAATTTTATTGCAGTAAGTGCATCAGTTTAGCCTCTAGAAACTCAATCCAGAAGTATCGTCTCCTTGGTATGCTTTCTCACATAGAAGTCCTTTCCAAAGTCAAGCCAGAGTACTCGAGGCGTCAATTGGCAAATTATGAAGCTATTTGGGAGGAACATCCCACAGAGGTGTCTCTTTTGTATATACTAAGACACCGACTTTTTAATGATCTTGGAAACCAATGTGTTTCTAAGGCATACAAAAACAGTATTAACAAATGCATTGAACCGTTGAAAACATATATTTGTCTCTTGAGTTCTCAATGTTCACTCATTACAGGTCATTTGAAGGAATTTGCTATATTCCTAGGTCTAGTAGACCCTGGTAAATTTGAGGAAAAGGGAATACCAGTACAAATGCGTTTAATGTACTACCTACTCAATTTACTCGGATTTCTTCTCAAAGGACAAATGATCGAGCTTAAAGGGTGTGCAAAGTCGATTGAAGGCATAATCCAAAAGGAAAGGGAGGCTCAATGGAAAACATGGACTTCACAGGGCCAAATCAGTATTACAATCAATATTTCTCAATCTAATGAATCTATTGCCTTCCAGTTGTACTGGCTTAACAATATGGAGTTTGTCTCGCTTTACAGGTTGGTTACAGGAGTTGGACTCATTAGTCAGGGCCTTGCTGCTGCGGCATTAGCCCCTTTAAAGTCTGGCCTTCGTGCTATGTCTAGTCTAATGAATGGGCCCGAGTTTAATGCCGTACCATTTTGTGGGTCTCTTGGCCAGTTGAACAACCATCTAGTAACCAGTGGGAGGATAATTTTCAATTTCCTATTCTACATTGAATGGATTAAATCCCTAAATCAGATCAACTGTGACATATGTGGTATCATAGAAGACAGCGATGGCCTAGTTTCCAAACTTAATGAGCGATATTTGACTAATTGTGATAATTTCACTGTGGCACATATCTATCAAAGGAAAGATCAATATCTTAAAACTTTAATCAAACTCAAAAGTCACAACTTGAACGATTCGGTGAAATGTTTCAGTCAATTATTGACACAAACGTCTTTGCCCGTCGATATCAAGGTATTTTCAATAATTCAAAATATTAATGCCTTGCTTGAAGTAAGGGATTCGTTAAGCCATGATGATGATCTGTATGGCCATACCATGGTGACAATACAAAACCTCAAAAATATGCTCAATGATTTCATGAACTCAAAAGAAAAATATGAACATGGTTCGTTCTTACAAGCCAACGCAGAGGTTGTTGATATGATTCTTGTTATTTCTTTAGTCGCTGAGCCAACTTCGACCAAAAACCACCATAAAATATTTGGCGTCCTAAAGAATTTAAACCAAGACGAGATTTGTACACCGTTCTTGAAAATATTGACCAGTTTGATATGTAGTTTCAATGAGAGCTCTTTGGTCACTGCTGATGAAAGGCTACAGGATTGCTTCAAGGCTTCAAAGAGACTTGGCAAATCATACAATGATAATGTCCTTCGAGTGGCGATTTCAAAAGGTGAAATGTATCTTTTGGAAAAAAAAGGAGCACCAGCTGCTGAAATTGAAGAGATCAAATTCAGAATCATGGAAATCGAAAAGACACAATCAAACAAAACTCAACGTAATAGATCTTGATCTTTTATTCCTTTATAAATTATACACAAAATAGAACTGAGTTCTAATAATATAAAATGCTTAATTATTCCTTTTTAGACTTTTTCTTCTTTGGTGATTCCTCATCTTCAGCCTTACGCTTCTTTTCCTTCTTTTCCTTCTTTTCTTTCTTGTCTTTCTTCTCCTTCTTTTCCTTCTTGTCTTTCTTCTCCTTCTTTTCGTTGGTGTCTTCTTCGATAACTTCGGTGGATTTCTTTGGCAATTGAACTTCTGGAACCTCTAACTTGGAAGCTGGGACAGGGGGTGCTGGTTCATCATCATGGTCTTTGTACTCACTCTTCCATGTTTCAGGAGTGTTCTCGTTGGATCTTCCGTATTTGTCTAATTTACCGTCAGCTTTCATTTGCTTTTTCTTCTGAGCAATAGGACCCAATCCCCATCTTCGTGGGTAAGTGTCCCTTTCCATAATGCATCTCTTGACTTTGGCAACGACCCCATGGTCACAAGATTGTAAGTCAACGGATGTCATCTGGGCAATTCCAATGGCAATCGCTTCACCCTTAGTAGTCATCAAAACCACTTCATCATAAATTTCGATACCTTCTTCATAACGCAATAAACCTGGGATCATTAATTTAGCTCCATAACAAACGGCATTCACCGCGGAGTCCTTGACAACAATTCTCTTGTAACCAACTAACAAAGTCTCCAAAGGTTGAATTATCTTTCTTAAGTACGATTCATCTCTGGTATTGTCATAAACATATTGAGCGTCTAAAACATCGTGTAAAGTAACAAGGTTATCATTTTCGTCCATAGCACCAGAACGAACTCTTCTCAATTCCTGCATGTGACCACCAACACCTAACAACATACCCAAATGAACGCACAAGGTTCTCATGTATGTACCAGCTTCACAAGAAGCCCAAAAAACACCCAATCCTCTCTTGTTGTCGAATTCGATTAAGTTAGAATCGTAAATAGTTCTCACTCTTAACTGTCTCTTCACAGCTGAAATCAATGGAGGTCTTTGAAACAAAGCACCAGTTAAGTTCTCTAAAGTCCTTCCCAAGTCCTTCTGATCTTTCAACTCGTCATGTAATCTAACAATACAAACATACTCTTTACCAGCACCTTGTTGAGACTTGACTAATCTAGTAGCTCTATCAATACAAACAATAAGACAACCGGTCACCTTAGGATCCAAAGTACCAGAATGACCAGTCTTCTCTGATCTCAAGATCCTTTTAATCCAGGCAACAACTTCATGGGAAGAAGGGTTGGATGGCTTATCCAAGTTTATAACACCAGATGAAACATAGGACTTGATATCTCTTTTCAAAGGGGAGCATCCCGAAGGGATTGGGGTATAATGACCACTTCTAACCAATAATTTGTCATAGTTCTTCAACAACAATGGCCAACTAGAAGTGTCCTTGCTGGGTTCAACATTCTCTGGCTTGATAACGAAATCCTCTTTAGACATCTTTCAATTCAAGCTAACTTCTAAAAAATTTTCACGAAATCCCAAGATGAGATGAAGAGCTCGCGGAGAGAAAAATAGAATTATATACAGGTTAATACGATAAGTTCAGTGTCGTCTTTAAATATCGTGCACCTGTATAATATGGATATCCCATTCTTATGTCTTCTTTGTGAAAACAAGTCATAACAAACTGTAATAGCCAGAATTATTAGAACTTGCTGCAAAATTTTCAATGAATAATGTTCTTTATCTTTTACATTTAGTTAATAATGAGAAAGATTAACACGTGAATTGTACAAATCGCTTTCAGTAATTCATTAGATTCTATTCACTGTCACTGGTTGTGTAATTATACCAAATGCGACATACGGCTAAGAAGGGTAGGTTATTCATTAAGATCATGTTCTTGCAACCAACAGATCGGCACGTACTTTTGGTCTATAAAAGATGTCCATATAACTAGTTATATGGACATCTTATTTGTAATGTCATGCTTGATCAATTTTAGCCAAAAAATGTCTCTCCCTATGCCTCTTACTGTCTTTACGCAGGTATCAAAGCTTGCATCATCTATTAACTCATTTTCGTTGTCGAAGCTGCCCCCAATCAAAGACATACAATCATTATTAGCTTTAATTTCACTGCTTATCTCATATAACTGATTAGTCAAAACAGAATCCGATATAACAACCTCATCCAAACTCATTTTCTGATCAAAACCAAAATGCACATTCAGGTGATCCTTGATATTATCATCTATTGCTTGCTGTAATCGATTATTCAAATTTTTTATGCTTGTCAATTGGTGAAGAAGGTAAGATAAATGGCTTTCAAGGTTATTCTTATTTGCTAATGCTTGTTGATTCTGATAGCTGAGCTGTTCGCCTAACTTGCTGACCTTGGAAGCTTGACCATTCATCTTATTAACACGATCTTGTGAGTAAGGAGGAAGTTCACACAAGCATCTGTTAATCTTATCGGATAACCTAGTTAAACTATGGCTCTTGCTATCTGGCACTTTCTGACTTCTGTCATCTCTATCCATCAAATCGGTTTCGAGGAGTTCAGTGATTGATTGACTATGGTTCTGCGTTTGTAATCTGAATTGTGTAGATCTATCTGAAAAAGGATATTGTGATGGAACTGATTGGTTTGGCCCCTGATTTTGTCCCTGGTCTGATCTAGATAAATAGCTCGGAGGTGATGGCGACGTGGGATAGACAAATTTTGGCTGGATCCTTGAGGAAATGTTTGTGTCCAATGTTTCTTCTTTTGGAACTCTGTCGGATAACTGTTGTGGTGGTATCGGTAGTGGAGCTTGGTATCTCATAGGAATATTGGAAACATTTCCCGTGTCATTTTTCATAATTCCTGTTGTGTCAGAACGGATTGAAGATGGGAAGTGAGGCGAACGTATTAGTTCAGGGTTATTTCGGCCATTTGTTTGGCTTGAGCTCAGGACAAGAATTTTGGTGCTGGGTGGCTTTGGAGGAAGCTGTGGGGCATCAGGTGAGTTCGATCGATAGATAGGCGGCTCTATGAGGAAGGCATCATTCAATAACCTCACAAGATTTACTAAATTGTAAGTCCGAAGAATGTTGACATCCTCTTGCTTGCATTGATTAAACCATTGGCTCAAAAAAGGGTGATAGAATTTTCCTTGGCTATCTATAAAATTCCCTGGTTTCAAAAATACACCATCAGCATTGTTTGGCACAGCATATACTATAGGAATACCGCCTGATGCTTCGTCTGGAGCGGATGTGGCATTGAAAGGGTAAGACAAAGGGATCCATATTTCTATAGGAATATATCCATTTATCTTTCCAAATAAGTTAATCAATAAATTGGAACTACCGGTTTTCTCTGCCGTATAAACCCTTGTCCTAATTCTAAATCCTGTTTCGAAGTATAACTGTAAGAACTGGATAATGTGGGTATAAGTGGTTTGCTTGTTTTGGTATTGAGGTTGTAATACACTTTGAAGCCAATTAATCAATTGCTGGGGCAATTGTTTGAGCTTTTGATCATCAGCCATTCGAAACGAAAGAACTTTTCAATAGTAATGTACCGCAAGGAATATCTTGATTTTCAATACTTTAAGTTGTCTCTCGAAATTCCTAATAGCTATCGCGCTACGAACAGTATTCAAATGTGGTTCTCGCACGTTTTGGATGATAGTCCAATCATGAAGGGTTAAGTGCTCCATCATTTACTCCAGAGAACAGTATAGCGTTGACTCGTTGTAGGCTCAATCACGTGCTTGGAAGAGCCTGCACTTCTTCACGAATATAATCAGTATGAAGCCTATTTGGTCGTGTGAAGACCGCTGTCGCACCAATACATATTTTTTCTATCGGTTTCAGAAAGTTGATTGTAGGCGAATATTTCATTTTATTCTTTTATTGTTATTCACCAAGGATTTTAGTGAGCATTGGAGATAATGAGTGGGTATGTAACATACTAGATAAGTGATCGATCATAAGCCTGTATCGTTCTTCTGTGTTTTACGGGTCTTTTTTGGAGTTTGAAATACAAAACCCTTAAAGGGGTTCACCGAGAATTTTATACCACAAGGGACTACTCCATAAGAGGAGCATTGGCCATTGAGTTTGAAATCACATTTGAGTATATTCCATGTCTTGGGGAATTCTCGAAGATTTAAAAGACTGTATGGATACTAACATTCTTTTTTAGTTATACAGTATTGGTTGTGTTCATACTTGTTGCCGCAATATGTTCGATATTTTGGGTAACTGCGCCAAAACAAGATAGAACTGTCTGGAGATCTTCAGTGATATTAGGAATTTCGATGATGTTCTTGATGTGGGCATTTACTTATCTAAGCCAATTGCATCCATTAGTTGTGCCAATTAGGTCCGATTTGAGACCTGAAAAGTGAACCATTGAGTTAAAAGATTACTAGTTGTAAAACATACAGACTATAGCTTTCAATAAATGAGTGACATTTCTCTGTCTACCCAAGCAATGTACCAGAGTGTACTGAGAGCTCGACAATAAGAAGTTCACCTTCTTTCTTGAGACTTGTTTCCAATATCTTTTCACTCCTGTATAATTCATCAGCAAGTAGAAGTTTTTGGGGTAGCCTACGATAACATAAATATCAGTATTAGGATCTGATCATCTTTACAGTCCTAAAACTTGAACTAAAAGTCGATATATCCGGGTAATATTCTCTTGCTCGTTTTTTTGTCCACCAGGAAGAAAATTTTTGAGTTTTCAGTTGATGTGCAATAGTTGAGGATCAAGATATGATTTAACAGTGTCTACGTGGTATAATCAGTTTACTTTCGATAGGGTGTAACTAAGTCACATGTGCTCATGAGATGTGCTCATGAAAGAATTTCAAACTGCCAATAATTCGCAGGTATTGCTGATATCTATCTTGTTAATCCTTATAAATATAATTGAACTCCTGTTTCTGCCCCATATTCTTTATTCTTCTATGGATTGATGGGTTCTGATGATGGAGAAGAAAAAGCTTTGCACCAAATCTTGAACGCTTGATACTTGTTCTTGATTTGTTGTATTGATCGTGTGGTTAGACTTTGAATCCGTGGATGGCAGTGCAGTACTATCGTTATTGTAATGCCTGATCGGTCTCCACTATATGTGACTCTTGATCAAGTATTATGATCACCTTTTCCTCTACCTTCTTAGTTACACTCTCATGTTTAAAAGTTCCTAGAAATTGACAAATTGAAACTCTCCTTTCCTGGATATTAAAACAACAAAAGCATTATCCTCACCTAAACACTTTAATTGTTTCTAGCCACTGTATCTTCCCTTATTAGGACTTGATATGCATGTTGTTGTGCCTTAAAAATACTTATAAATTCTCTGAAGAAATCTTTGGCTACAGCTTAATATTGACGTTCCCCACCTTGTTCGAGTTAAAGGCAAAGTGATAAATGATCCAGTTTACCGAACTGGGTAGAAACATAACTTCTGACAGGTAGACCTTAACATCTTCGTGCTACAGCAAACATTTATATTTTCTCTAACTCTACTTCAGTTATTGTGAATTTTACTTTATTTGCAACAATTTTTTCATTTTGGTGATAAAGCTTGAAAATATAACTACAATTATGAATGAAATATTACCAGCTATCAAGTACTCTTCTTTCAAGGGGAGCCTTAGTCAATTCCATGGTTCTGAAAATGAGCAGTCAGAAGTTTTTATATGAATAAAGAGGTCCATATTGGTGATGAATTTTAGCCTATATTACCTCCTGCCAATGTTGTTTTTGTCCTTAATTATAATTAATTCTGTATGATGATGATGCTGCTGCTGTTGTGTAAGAAGTTGGAACTATTTTTCATTATTTGACCCCATCCTATTCTCACATATTACCACCAGAAATTATAGTTTACATGTTTGTCCTCAGATCCATGCTATTGTTATTAATGGGATTTCACAGGTTATTTTGCTCAATATGACCATAATCTGACGGATTGTAAGCTTATTCGAATTAACACCAATACTATTCGACAGCAGGTTACCGTAGACATCCGCTGACCCAATATTAGACCACTACTAATGGCCCTATTGAAAATCCACAACAGGAAAAATGCCCGTTGGTTCAGCAAGGGAAATACACTACAAATGCATTAACAAAGAGCCTAGCTATCTACCAAATCACTGGTGCGTATGAATATGAAATTAATTCTGATCAGGTTTTTGTTGCAGGCCTATGCTTGACTTACGCACTGCTTATACATTATATTTAATGGGCTCAACTCCCTAGTATCATGTCATTGGCAGCGGTAGTGAGAGGTTGAAAACAACCCATAGTTTCGATACGAAATTGGTGATGAGCCATACTTCCCCCAAAAGAGGTTGTTTGAAAAAAGTATAATTAAGATCTTGAATCGTTAAACAAACATTTTCTTAGTGAGACTCTTTAAGTAAGAATCTTAATCATTGTTTCAGATATAGCTACTATACAACTTTACATCCTAATTAGCTTGGGCTTACAAAGAAGAAAACTCTTCGGTCTTTCAACTGCAGCTGATTGATTGAAATATATTCTATATACATAAATTAGCTTCTACAAAAGTAATACATCCAGGTGCTAATTTCATTATCTATGTAGTAATACCACGTGAATAAATAAGCCCACTGCAATTATTGTTGGATTTTAAGTACCTAGGACCCTGAGTGCTGAGGTGAAGTACTCTACACAACTCCAGCCTTATGAATCATCTGCTCCATACGAAAGGCACTGTAGCAAAGAAATTAAATTTGACAGCGTAGATACATAAGGCAATTTCTAGTACCGTGATTAGACACATTAGACAAGCTTATTTCACTAGGGAAGCTTTCTACTCCTTTAGGTTTAGGTACTGGTCGTTCTTAACTCTTTCAGCAAATGACCGTTTTCACACTATCACATACCCTAAAGAACTTAAAAGACAACTACCACAAGCAACGGAATAGTTATGTGAACAAAGGCCACTGAATCAGTATGGAGCACCAGATATTTCTCTAGATACGCATCTAGAAGTGATAGGTGTGAATAACTGAAGAATGAATGATTCAATGCATTATAAGAATAGACAGTATAACTAGGCTTTGTATAATGAAAGTATATCTGAATTATGTTAGCTGAGATTCAACATACGCATAAATAGAATTACCTTAAAATCAGTATAGTCTTTGTTCCATTGACTAGCGACCTTGACCAAGAAAACAATTCTTTTTCTAGCCACCTGTTGAGAAATTCATCAGTAGCTGGTTAGTATCGACATATACCCAACTTTTAACCGCCATATAAAACCTAACAAATAGAAGACAAGGTTAAAAACGGTTAACTTAGTAGACGTATTACCAGCTTCGATTTTGCTTACAAGAGCAAAACTCCCCAAAATCAGTGAGCGCCTAGAAGCCTGCTAAGATAAGCAATTGCTACCGCACTTAAAATATTTCTGAAACAACATCATCATTACCACAATAGACAGAAATCACTATCCAAACGTTGAAGCTCATCTAATTTTACTGGTCTAAAAATTATAAATAAAACCTAACCATTTTTTCAGGGAAAAATTGATAAGATTTAAAGCTAACAACACTTATGCATGGAGAGGAAACCCAATACTTACGTCTGTCCTATGAACATTTTGAATAGTAAATTAATCTTAGTTAAATAAATCCTACCAAATTTGCTTACTTGAACTCTTTAACAATTGCAAACAAAGAGACTTTATATACGATATCCTTAATATATTGCAGTAAACCTTTTCATTTTCTCTAAACACATTAATACTTTGCGTACAATCAGCAATTCAATATCACCGAAGAGTATATAAATAAACTCTAGTAAGTTCGGACGCAAGAATAACGAATAAAGAAATCCTAATAATTTAATCTGTAAAGCTTGAGCTTTTTTATTCACCATAAGTTAAATAAAAAGTTGTCAAAGACTATTGCTCTAACAATTTTATACAGCTATAAATGATGATGAGAGTTATTAATGACATACTTTTCAAGGAAGCTTTAATTAAATAACTTATTTGCTATAATTCAACACACCTATACAAAAGTCCGTAACACTAATAGCCCTTAACACTAATATATTTATAAAAACATCGTTATGTGAAATAATTAGCTTTTATGTATTCAAATGAACTTAGATCAGCATTGTTCAAATACTTAAATTGATATGTATATTAAAAGTTGCTGCCTAAGCCTATAGTTATTATCATGTCTGTTACCAAAAAGACTTTATACACTTCATACCAATTTTAACAATCAGGAACATTAACGAACACCTCTGGAAGTCAACTACAATAATATCAATTGATGCTAAAATTACCAAACGTTTAAAGTATTAAATAGCTTTAAAGAGAAAAAATTATTATTCGTTATGATTACAAATATTATTAGCATGATTGTCAATTATTTTAACAATACAAAAACTTAAAGCTGTTCAGAATATGTGTTTACAGAATGGAAGAACAGTTAAGTACGACAATGCACGAAGAAATAATATCCTAATTTATAGTTTAATATACTATTTTAATTGGAAAACAGTCTATTATATAAATGTTTAAAAATTCAATACAAAATTCTTAAATATTCAATATACTAGAACTTACAAATTTAATAGTGCACGTTTCATTCAAAAACTTTATCATTTTTAATAAATTTTTTATTTGTAACTTTTATCAAATACAAGCATTAGTCTGTCTTCGGGCAACTCACTAATGATGATATTTTAGCTGAATATTCGCTTTTGTCAGGTAACATGGGAGAAGACTGATTGCGTTCGGTAGAACCCATTGTTGAAACACCGTTGTAAGTATGCAAAAGGATCTCGCTCAGAGTTTTAGATAGCATTAAATATTCCTTGTATTTTGTAAATCTCAAATGCTAACCAAGATGAACGCATCGTTTCCTAGTAAATATAAATCTAATTGTATAGGGCAGATATGGAATACAGTATATGTTAATGGTAGTATTGCGTATTAGTTTGCTATTGAAATTTAACATAATAAAGGTTGAGTTTAACTGGAAGAAGGACGTTTCGAATGTTGATTCATTACTAGGGAATATCCATATGATTGAGGTTTTAATGTAAAAATTTACAGTATTTATTTATTAAATAGAATCTTCTTGTGGAAGAGAATATTTTGTTGCGCTCATACTAGAAGAGTAAACGAATAAATTATTTTTCCTTGTCCGGAGGTTGCTTGTATTTGAATTTGTTCATTATCTTGTGTCAGTTAATAAATCGACAGTTCTTAAAGTTGGCTTTTAGGGTAAATGCAGTTGGTTGTGTAAGTGGCATTCGTTTCGTGATGGGACTTTAATATTTTCTTGTATGGTGCTTTGTAAGATTTAGGAGTTTGTATTTTTTGTTTGGAAAGTCATTTAACCAATAATGTCAAACAATTTCGTACATGTTGTACCTTTAACTTCGCGCATAGTAGTATTTAGCCTCGATCAACTGCCTTCATAGAAAAGATACATAGTTCATTTAAATTTTGTAAGCCCAGTTTTTAGACATACATCATGTGCTGTACTGGTGAAAACTGTATTTTTTAGAGGTATTGCATTTTGGTTTTAGGGACATGCTTATTTATAGATGTTTTCAATTTACCTATTTATTATGTTAGAGTACTTGATTGTTCTGAATATGGGTAATTTTTTTGATGTCATGTTGAAACTCTGTAGTTCATTTGGAAGTTTAAAGTCTGCTTCATATGAATCTATTAATATTACCAAAATCTATAATAATGCAGTTGTGGCGCTATTTAAAATATTGTTGGTATATTTGATTGCTTAATTGATGTGGACTTTTGGGTTGAAGCTGAGTTTTAAATTGTATTATTAACGGGATGATTATTAATGGAAATATTTTCAGCTGTTTAAAAGTTGCTTGGTGATCACGCATACTTTCACAGTTAGTAGGATATTACTTTATTGCTTTTAACTTAGCATGTTTCTTGCTTCTTGTCTTTTCTTTCATACGGTTGTTTAAAAGACGCCTGGATGCTGAGTTGAAACTGTCGCTGTGAAGTTGGATATATGGATTTTACCTTGTGATTGTGATGGTCTCCTCTTAATGCGTTTGATGTTCTCATGTCTGTTAAGCTGTTCCTTTCGTGCTAGTTATATATTTGTCTCGAGGTAGTTTCATTCATGTTTCCCCGCTGAAGAAGTGATGAACGGCTTAGATGACCAAGTGAGGAACTTTCAGGTTTACTGGATTCTAAACATAAGAACTGTCTGTATTATAATATTGGGAATACCTGCTATACAGCTATTTTCATTATTTGTTTATTCTCAGAATCTACCGTAAGGTTTCATTCAACTATGTGCGTCTATAGAATCTTCATTATTGAAATATGGTTCTTGGAGACAGTAAGGGTTTGGTGATAATTCTAGGCCAATTTCTGAATATTCTACCTAGCTTGATTGTCACTCAGTGCTTTGAGTACCTGACAATTGGCAATCAGTGGGGTAGCAGTCTCAACAGCTTTAACGTCTGTTTCTGTAGAGGCAAAAACTTGAGTGTAAGGGTTCAAAAGAGTCTTCCACCCTAGTTCTACAAGCGGTGTTGAGATTTAAAATTTGGATAATGAGAAAACAGCCCCTTATATCCCATAAAAGCGAATGATGTTGAATGAAGCCTACTAAAGAAGTAAAATAATTTATAGTGCAAGATTTTAATTGACTGGTCTAATAATTTAAAGTAAAATAAAGCATTCCTAGTTAGAAGACGCACTATTGTGGGAAGTGACAATTTGTTACTAGAATATTACGGCAATAATCAAGAGTCAGCTGCTATGTAAGAATTTTCCAGTGTATAGAATGAACTGTGCAAGATACTTAAAACTAGCATCTATTCTAGAAGCTGTAGAGAAATCCCCTATTACGGTAGCTGAATGCTTTATTAGTAATGTAGAAAACATATAAGTAGCTATGTATTCCCCCATGCTGAAGGTTGGGATGAATCATTACTAGGGTTAACAGTCATTTGAATATGCAGAATCCATTGAATCTTATGAACCCAATGTTTCTACGTTCACAACTATTATGAATGTTGACTGTTATAATCATTGATTAATAAAGAAATATCATTATAAAACTTACATTGTAGGTATAATTCTACTGTATAAGTTCTCGTTTGAAATCAGATAGGCAAGGCGTGATCCTTCAATATATTTATAATATTCTGAATAGGGAGAAACATCGAGGACCAAAGAAATAATAAAACTGGAAGAAGAAAATTGTCAGCTATGAATTCATTTTGTTAACTACCGTGATTATCAACAATCAATCTGTTGATCCAAATATCGAAATGCCCATTGATAAAATTCAACATCACACATTATTTAAAACCAACAAATCTAAAAAGTCTATGGTAAAGTAAAATTTATCTTTTTTTAATGGATGCTAGGTATGGAAGATATCAAGAGCATTCAAGTGTTGGCACTTCTTGCATTGATGTCAAAATGGGAAAATATGTTTATTCTAGTTGGTCAATTGTTTGGTCAACTTTGCGCTAACTGGTCTTTTTCCTCTTCTTTAATTTGGCAAATTTCACGAAACTTGTTGAAGTTCGTTTTATATAGGGAATCTGGGAGTCTTGAAGTTTCCATAAATTTTGTTCAATAAACTTTACTGAATAAGTTCATCACTTTCGGGTATTTGAGTACAAAGTAGAGACATCATGTGTGTATATAATGTACATCATATTGTTGTTGGTCATTTTTTTCTACGATACCAATTAATTTTAAGAGAGCCGCCACAAACGAATTACGATAACATTGTAATGAAAAAATAAATACTAATAGGATAATGCAATACAGCCATAGACACTTATGGAACACTTTGAAGGAATCTCACTTGGTTTCTTGCAAGCGTACATATTTCTTCAATATTCTCTGACTTAAAGTACGGAAAATCGATTGTCTCGCTGCAAAGAGCTTTCTCGATGTTTTTCCATTGCTCTAATTCGAAATCCAAAGTCTTTGCTTTGATGTTAGGATCATCATAGGTGAATCCACTAAAAAGTCGATATTTAAGCCTCTTGTTTTCAGCATCCCACAAATCTTCTCTCGCAAGCAAACCTACAGGGTCAAATTTTGGAAAGTTACAGTGAATGGCAAATAGTTTTCCAGAATCTCCAGAGAAGTGCTCTTTCTGTAAGTTGTCAATGTTCTCAATTTGGGACTTGATAGGTATATGTTTATTTTCCTTTGATTTTGAAGGAGTTTCCAAATATTTTTGATACTTTTCGTAATCACCGAGCGGATCCTTTTGACCCATAGCCACACCTTGAAAATTACCACCGTCATCAAAGTAGCCAAACGTTCGTATAAATGACTTAACCTGATAGAAATTCTCTCCACACACACTAGCCGCCGCAGGAAAAGTGTCTTTATCACCCTCTCCCTGTTCTCCCAAGGAAAATAACTTATAATACAAGTTTGGACCCAACATGTTGTAATACATCGACAACAATAAAGTACACGCATGGGTATCCTTGTTGATTAAAACTTGACCTGACTCTGTAGATAAGTTGGGAATGGCACCTTCTAGATCATGATAAGGCACCTCATCAGCTATAGATTCTCTCGTATTCAAGTTGCTTGTTAGCCCATCGGGAGTCGCTAAGGGGAATCTGTTGTACCTTACGCGTTTATCTTCATTCACCTTCAACCCGCTTATGTCGTAAAATACTGGAGATATTGTTCTTTCCCAGTAGTCTGGCCAAGTTACCATTCCATAGTCTTTGAATAATTTACTTGTGAAGAGAGAATCCGGGTTTTGAACAAGAATGTTGTCAGAATCCAACAATAGTACATTCTGAAAGCTTGAAACCATCAAAGCTAGTGACTTTAATTGATAGTTAGCAAAATTGGACGACCATTTAAACATAACCTCAGCTCCTAAGGATTCTGCTAGAACAACACATCTCGCATTCAACTTGGGTAGGGTTTTTTGACAGAATTCTTGTTCTTGAACGAAGTCTTCGTGTTGGGGCATTACTATTTCCACTGGGATATTTGATCCAGATTTCCTCAAAGCCACCAAAGAAAGATAAGATAACCATGAAAACTTCTGTCCTCCAATAATAACAATTCCATTGGCACCCTTCACGTATGTGGATTTATGTAATTTTCTTGGTAGCGTAGACATTACGAAATTGTGTTTCATTGTCAATTCTCTAGTCGTCTCTGGAGATATATATGCCTTAGACAATAGTACAGATTTGGAATTAGGTCCTTCTTGTTGTTGTGATTTATCCACATACTGTACAGCTGTGCTAATATCCCCTTGAGTTATGTTAATGCTACCGCCTTCAATAATATTGAATACATCTGTCCAAAAACTATGCCTGGGGTCTGTATCAATATTCTGTCCGATGATAGGTTTGAAGTTCATCTCTTCTTCGTCACTTGGATAGAAGCTGAGTTGACCATATTCCATGAACTTCTCAAAGTTTTCCAAAGTGAGAACCAACAAAAATATTAACAGTATTGCTAGAACAATAAACTTAGCTTTTAATCTGAACATTATAATAATATCTTTTGTTTTAAGGACTAAGTGAAATGTGTTCAGATATAATTTCCTCCTGTAGTCGCGCGTGTCGGTAGCTGGCACTACCTCGGCTGACTAGTAATGACTATTCTTAAGCGAATCTCTAGAAAGGACAATAACCCGCTATTCCAACATCTTGCAGTCAACCAGCAGCAGAAGGATTGATTAGGATATCTATATTATATAAACTGTGTGCGTATATCCTAAGCCTGTATCGTATTATTTTCGCGTTGATCAGGGTCCGCAAGTCTCAGATAATCAGAAAATTAATTAGCTATAACTCCTGAGATAGTTACCGGTATGTCTTATAAAGGTATAGAGTTGAAGAGTACTAGAGGCTCAGGAACATCAGGATACGTTACGAAAAACCTTGCCTCTCTAGGTGATAAGATTGCCTACGAAGACTCGAAAGAGAGAGTGCGTAAGGTGAAGAACAGGAGACGCTGCTGGTCCGAAAACAATCAAATGGACAGCATTAAAGCAAGGTTCAGGAATGAGCTTGAAAGTCGTGAACTGCTTAGAGACATAGAGAAGAAATGTATGGAGCTCCGTGATAAATTAGAGAATGAAGATATGGAGGCTGCCATCGTTGATACGAAAGTTAAGGAGTTGAGGGATAAGTTGATGAATCAATCAGAGAGGGAAGACGAAATACGATCAGCGAAAGACAAAGAAGCTAGTGAGGGGGGGATAAAGAAACAAAATTACATGAAGGAATTACAGATAATAGCCGGAAAGTAGTTCACTATAAGCCATTATACAACAGATCGTGATCATTATTGAAGGCAATAACTGATCCAAGCACAATTATAAAACCACAGATGATGAAGCCAAAAGATTTGCCGTACTTGAGAAAAATTTGAGGCAAAGAGAAGAAAAGAGATCTGCAGAAGTATAACCAACAGATTGCTAATGGCTGCATAATTATTGATTCACCCAGGTCATTGAGCTATATCGAAGAGCCAGAACGAGCTACGAGATTTTTGGTTCAATTTGAACAGGTGTTCCACTCGAGACATGCTCCCTTTGAAAAAGTGGGCTTTTAGATATATAATTCACAGGTATGAAAGTAGGCCGAAGAGTAACTAGCCCCAATATTGTGAATCCATTATTATCTGCTTTTTGCACGACCGATGTACTTCTTTTCAACTCAGGGGGCATAAGAATAGGAACAGGTATTGCTACTGCTTCGATTACGTAGTCAGTACAATAATATACATACATTACCATTGCGAACTTGAATATAGTATTAGAACTGTCAAATAGTTTTATTCATGAGGTGTTCAAGGTTTTTGACCCTTCCTATTCTGCGGGGGAAGAAAGGTATTAATCCAGCAAGATGTTGTATTGTGGTAAGTTTCCTAACAAACTAGGGTGAGCTTGAGCTTTGTTTCATGCAATATGATTAGTAGATTTTAGATGGCTAATATTAGATGGGTAATATTAGATGCAGAGAGGCATCAAAATTCAATCAAGCCTTCTAATAGAATGGAAAATTGACAATTTATTCATTTCTGGCTCTTAATTGATATTGTTATCAGGGAAAGAATAGGTTGTCAAATTGGTGATTTATTAGACGCCGATGCGTTATATATAAGAGTGAATTACATGGACAAATCTGAACCTAAACTTGTAAGGAATGGCTTATTGTAGTTTCTGTAAGCGAATACATTTTACTGTGTTTGGGTTTCGTTACATTTAATTAACTCAGAAAATTAACCGAAATTTGAACAATTCTTGTACATATAAACGAATAGCCATGATAAGATACTGAAGTTATTTTGTTTTTATGCTTTTGGGGTTTTCTTGGAGATAGCCAGAAATTCAAGTTATGGTCCGTTTAAGTATTATCGAGGTCGAACCAAGGCAAGGCCAGCTTAAAAAGTCTGGTTCCAAAACCTGATCAGATATCAGGAATCACTTTGGTCTTTATTACTCCAATGTGTTGTTGAATAGTCAGCGTTTTGCTAATTTATCTGTGGTGCGGGTCTCATAATGTAACTGAGCATCCGGTGTTTGCCTGTTGTGGATTTTCAACAGCGACATAAGTAGTGGTCTAGTATCTGAGGGTCAGTGGAGGTCTATTGTCGGAATACTGTAATTTTGGAAGTAGTCTGGGGTTGAATAAAGGTGAAATAATTCCAAGCTACTTGCATATCAACAGTGATCTCATCATATCCAACTGAAGACCCATTATGATTTAGCCTCCGTCATGACTTGGATTTCACAGGGGCTTATACAACACTTCCTCTTCTGTTGGAGTTGCAAGCTTATTGGGGTCGAATAGTATTGGTGTTAATTCAAATAAGCTTACAATCCATCAGATTATGGTAATGTTGAGCGTGTAAACCTTTGAAATCCCATTCACAACAATGGTATGGATCTGAGGACAATCATGTTAACTATAATTTCTTCTGTTGGTGATATCTGAGTAGGATGGGGTCGAATAAAGGAATAATTCCAACCTACTCACATAACAGCAGCATCATTATCATACCGAACATCAGTATCACCAGGGACCAAGCCATTACCAGGAAGTAAGTTAGGTGAATAAACACTGATATGGAGCTCTTCCTTCATGCCACAGCTTCTAATTGCTCAAATTTCAGAACCATGGAATTGACTAATGTTCCTCTTGACTTTGCCTTTGGTATAAGTCTAGGCTTAGTGGGTCTTGAATAAGTTTCCTGGTTCTTTTCGTAGAATGTGATTTTCGAGGAAAGTATACTTGAATAAGTAGGGCTTTTTCTCAAAGTAGGGTGCTCCAGAAACGTGGGAACATCTTCGTTTTTTTCTTCTTTTTCAGTGCCACTAGCGATGTTGACAGGTAGTGAAACAACCTCCTCTACAACGGTAAAAGGGCCCTTTTCATTGTTGCAGGGGGAGGATATATCACTTTGGTCGACACCCTCTGAATCCCTGGCTTTTTCATCTTTACTCCATTCCAGCAAGTTCTTTTCGTTTACTGGATTGTTAATCTCAATACTCTGAGCTTTTGAAGAACATTTATCAGCGACAGTTTCAAGTCTATCACAATTGATTCTGAAGCCAACAGGAAACACACCTGCATTAACACCAATAGTACCAAAGCTCTCTTCACCAGTAAAATAGTTATCCTTAGTTACAACAACATCATATGTTTCTGGTGCTGCAAGATTCATTTTAACGTGCTGATCTGCAA